GAGCGAGCATCTGCTCTGAGTTGCTGTTGTGACCTGTTAGTTCAGAGCGACTTCGGAGTATTGAAAGCTTCGCTTGCATTGTGTTTAACGTTCCTAGTACTTGAAGTGTGTTTACTGATTGTACTCTGTGATACTGTGAACGCCTGTACGATATATTTCTGTGGAAAGTTGCAGAACTCTGAAGTTCATTTTCTTTTCATAAAATAAACTTTATCAATTTATCATTGGATCTGTGTGCATTCAATCTATTGCGAACCTGTACGTACGCGACAATATATTTGGTCCGGCCGATTGCAGCGAAAAAGGGAGGTGCAAAGTTAGATGTTATTAGCAGAACTATATGCAAGATTTCAACATCTACGGCTACTCGTTTTTGAGTTATGAGATACTTACACACAGATAAATAGTTATTCAATCACTGAGACATTTTAAGTTAATCTTGAAGATATTTTAGCGTTAAAGGATTTAAAAATTATAACGTATATCACAGTTTGCCAAAATTAATATAAAATAACTTTTCAACATTTAGTTAAGTTAAAACTTGCTATTAATCATCGTCAAATATACTGAAATACATAAAATGCCATTACAAACACCTTTTACTCAATATAATAATGGTACAAGTATTTACTCGTAAGTGTTATTATATCAGTCGGGCATTAAAGCATAAATATTGAAGTATATATATTATTGCTTTTAAATCACTCGGTTGATAAATCGATTTACTATTTTAATATGTAAGATTAAATATCTTGCAGAACGTCAAATATCATGCTTTGTCTGCGATTGGCCAGGTAGCGTAACTTTACGGTAAGAGTATTCTCTAAACGTTTCTAATTTCTAAACTTGAAGGTTTAAGCAAAATCGGCTGACTATAATACATGCTCTGAAATTCCAGTGCTCTCGCATATGGGTTAAAGATTCAAATTCTATGATCTACTTGATGCAACACGTGAACGAACTCATTGGTCTAAACCATGGTTTCCCAACCCTTTTCTCGTCGAACCCCCTTTTATTTTTTCTATTGGATGAATTCAGCATAATCAAAATACAAATAATTGCACATGAATAATTTAAAGACAATTACTTAGAATATAAACACAAGTTTTGAAACATGGATTTGTTTTATTTTTAATTTCAAATATAAACAAGTTACCAGAAACAAAATTATAGGTTCACAGTATGAATAGCTCAAAAGTTCGATTTTAATTACTGAGATATCGGCACTTAATGTATTGATGCAATATTTTTAATGCTTAAGGAAAAATTGCTTAACTTTTGCCTCTTTCAACAATATTTAACCTATTTCTTATTTACCATAATAAATTATTGACTTGACTAAAGCTTGCTTCTACTAGGTAAGTAGGAAAATGTTGGTTGGTATTTTTTTGCACTTATTGCATAAAATATTGATATAATTAAAATGTTTTAGAGAATATTTAATATAATTTTACATGTTGCTACTCTGCATTAGCAAACAGTTACCAATTTTTTGTGATCAGTGGAATCTTGAGTATGCCGATTAACTGCCTATCGACCTTTTGATAGTCATCTACCCTGTTTAAAACTCTGTCGACAACTAGGGGATCAAAACTGACCTCGCTGGGAACCCTTAATCGAATCCAAGGCAGATATTATTCACCGAAGATTTGATCTGGCTCGCAGCTTTTTTAAAATAAGATTTTCATTGTAAAATAAAAATAGAATTTGTAATAAAATGAGGTTCATAGAATTTTTTTTCCCTCTTAAAAACAATGTAGCTTACAATCCCACAAATCTGCTAAATAAGTATGAAAATGTTAGCTACTGTTGATGTAATATTTATAAAAATAGTTCTAAACAACAGAATCTGAACTTTACCCGCGTGAGCATTTAACTATTGATATAGTAAATTTCAGCATTATTTCAGTAATGTTTATATTTACTATACACTTAACGTAAAACCAAGTCTGTTAAAGAGGCTTTACATACAAATTTCTGCAATAAAAACCATGCATTTAGTTTTTATTACGAATCCAACTTTGCAGTAGGAAGGTTTCCTTGCAGAAGTATTTTCATTAGTTTTAACATCGATAAATATTGTCTTACGTGTCTATAAGAGTTTTTTCAAATTATCGTATGCCAAACTGTGAAAAACTGATTTCCAGCACAGAACTGTTCACATGAATTTTTATTGAGTGTAATGGAGCTGTTGTGTTTGATTTGACATAGAAGGAATATTTTTAACGCTAAATTTAGGGGAGTCGTCATTTTGGCTGATTTTGGACTTCATGAGCAAAATTACAAAAATCTTTATTTTTATAGTTTTCTAATTTTTTTCTGATAATTGGAGATGTGAAACTAATACATACTCAGATTTATTTTCTCTTCAGCTCTTTAACCTGATGTTGTTTCCTATCTTTACGGATACCAGTCATTTTCACGGGAAAACTAGAGATAATTGTAATAAGCTGGTTTTTAATGAAATTTTCTGGAAAAATGTGAAAGTTAGAACGTAGATACTAAATAGAAATCATAATTCAATGAAATATCTTTTGATAATTTTTAATCCAGTATCAACGCGCTGCGGTTCGTCAGAGCAAGGAGTATGTCATGTGTGAATATCTATGACTTGTACATACCTAAAGCATTCGGTTCAAGTCTAAGGAACGATCTGCTGTCGTTGATTTCCAATACATGTGTCAAGACCTTTCATAAACTCTTCCCGTTAGTGCGATTAGAGACGATCGAGAAGTTACTAGATTATTATTAGCAATATTATTATAGAATTGGAAGAAAGTAATAGCTTTACTTTATTCTGACGAAATACCTTTCTTTAGTCATCACAAGGAATTAAAGAAGAGATACTGAATTGTTAAGATTGTAAATGTTTAATAGTCTTTAAGAAAATATGTGGTTTCCTTTACCTGTCAATTTGTCAAATGTCCGTAAGTAGGTATGCAGATATCTTCGTTAAACCTGTTGTTGTTAATAGCGTTAAACATTACGTCGAAGAAATTATGAGAGCCTAACGGATGAAGCTTAGCGACCAAACATTGGTTCAAATTGGTGGATTTATGACTAAGTCAATAAACTTGCCAGTTTGAACCAATGTTTTGTCATCGCATACCAGTGCGTTATTAATCCACACAGTAATTATGTGAAAGGTGTGAAATTTGCAAAGGAAAAGACATTTTCCTTAACCAATTTATCTCTTTTAATGAACTCCGCCACCAGTCCAAAACTTTTCTTGCATTCAGTATGGTAAATTTACGTCAACCATATCAGTCGAAGCATTATCTATGTAAATGAAGATGAGTATGTCAACGACGTGCCAGTTTGAGCAGTTACCCATAAGCATCATGTAGATGTAAAAGTTAAATTATAAAAAGAATAATCGATGAACAACATGAGAATTCCATGTTGTAGTACAAAATTTAGTATATCATATCATAAAACGTTGAATAATGTTGTGCCTTTTACTATTACATTCACAAGACTATCTTTGACAGCGATTGACAGAAAACACATTGAACTAATTGGAAAATTTGATAATGAATTACCAAATGGATTTTCGAACATGCAGAAAGTTTTTAAATCTATTTGGAATCGATGTCAACGATATTTGGCTCGATATGTAGGCGATGGAACTAATCAAGGATTCTAAAGAGCATTGACCTGTAAGAGCTTCAAGAGCTTTTACGAAGCATGAATCGTGAGCTTATTTGAAAAACATCTTCCTTAAGATTCTTATCCAAATGTACTCAAACATGCTTACTCTTTTTGTTAGCACGTATTGGTGAGATTTATTTACAAAAATGAAAATCGAGAAAATAAAGGTATTTCATGACCAATATTTTACCAGAATTCCATGTACTGATCGAATAAATATATGGTGGAAAATGGTAATATTGCATTACATTAATATTAGTGCATGAAGTTCTGAGGCGTAAACTTATGGTCCATTTTTAATAATTTTGCATCTGTTGCGTTATTGTTGAAAATCGGATGATGAAGGAGTTTTCAAAGGTATGCTTAAATTTCCAATACTTTTGGTTTTGTTACATTAATTCTCAGAAATTCTTGATTTGCGGGTTGCAAAATTTTTAAGTGGGCCATGGTTGAGAAAGGTTAGAGAAGCCTAACAATTTGCCAAATTTTAAATCTGAATGTTCATACCTTGAAATCTGCATAAATAGCATTAGAATCACAATAATTTGAAAATTAAATTTCGAAAATAATGCTATCCCATCTCGATTAAGATTTCGCTTCCGATATATCTCGCAGCAATAACTCAATAACTGAAATTTCTTTTGACATTTATGCCCGTTTGATAACACTATCTAGGAACAGAAATCGTAATTTCAATGAGTTTCGTGATACACCAATATCAGTTTTGATGCTATACGTACTAATGTGTCATTTAAAAGAAGCTAATAGATTTTTTCTTGATTTAAATTATTCACGGAAAGTCTATATAACGATCTACAATCGTAGTAAGTTGTTATTCCTCTATTCATGTTACTTTGCAGATCTTCACAGATCCAGCCGTGTCGATCAACTTAAACAAGGGCTTTTGATTCCGCAAGATCATTTGGATCTTTTAATTTTTAAGTTTTGTACTATCCAACTTTAAACGTTATTTAACTCTTTGTTTAAGATGAAAGCAAATAAGACTTGCTTAAATAAGATAAAAAGGTAGCATACTCATAGAACTAAACACTTTGAATTTAAAGTGTTTAGTTCTTTGAAAATTCAGATACGAATAAAAATAAAAATCCATTTTCATTTAACAAAAACCATAATTGAGTTATGAATGAAATTACCCGAAGTGCTATCGACTACTTTTGTCACATATTACCATGTACACAAAATTTTCGTATAAAAGTTTATGCAGTTACAAAAGTCTCCCATTTACATAATTCTATAACATCTTTTTGAATAATGTTTGAATATGAATTTGAATTCGTTTAAACTAATACTGGATGAACTATGCGCGCTCACTCAATCATTTGTTTCAGGACCTGTGACATTTCTGTCTGAACTGACCGTGCTTTCCGATAGCCTGCAAGCAAACATGGTTTCGTTTCATACCTTAAACAGCTTGGACCTAGAAGATTTCATAAGACGTGCAGTTACCAAAGCAGAAATTAATTTCATGTTACTGAAGAATAAAAGGTTCGCCCATCTGAAAGGTAATCTGATAATAAATTTTTGTGTCTGGTATTATTAATTATGTGTATACAAGTAGTCTACAACTTAACCACGAATATCTTTCCAGAGGTGTTCCGTCTTAATTCGGTTCCGCCGTAAGTCGAGGGCTTATTTTATCTTGATATCCTTAACATTTTTATAAATAAAGTTTAAACTAAAATGGTCTTAAGACTTAGCTTCTTTGTGAATGCAAGTTCGTTCTCGTGTTACCTTTCAGAGCAATCAGGTTTCATCTACTTTAAACGGTTCCGGCAGTATCTATTTCTTTTAGATTTCTCTTAAAATTTTTAATTTTCGAATTCGATTTGGAACTAGCAGCTTCTCTTTTTATACGGAGGTAAATTATATTGATTTTTAAATCGATTATACTAATTTATTAAACTGCCACTTAATGTTTGCTCACCATGTTTATCTTGTCGATTTTATATATCAAATATGTTAACTGCTTTCCTTTGTATTACTAAACTCTGAGAAATATTCTTGTTAATGTGATTATCTATCGACATACTTAATGATTTTTCATTTAATGAATGGAGCTTTCTCTCTTTTAATTAAAACGTTGCATATGTGTTAATGCCGCTTCAAAGGCCTTTGTTTTCTTTCTTATTTTTTATCATGAATATGCTTGAATGTGACAGTTTTCCCGAGCTATTTCCCCGTCCCCTCCAGTATTTCTCCATTTTTATAAGGTTCGATAGCCCTTATTTTAAAATCTATTTAGAGAGCTCCTTATCTTTATTATGATGGAATATTATTTTGCTTATTAGATATTACGACGAGACAAAAATTGGAGCAAAATATACATCCTCATCGACTTCCGAAGAAAATAACGTGCCAACAAGTGAAAACCATTAGTAGTCTGGAATGGTCTTAGCACCAGATAATGGTTTCACAATTTTTTGTCGCTAAGCCTTCAAAATACGCTACGTGACCTTTGCCGATATTGTTTATTTTTTATTATTGGTTTGTTGTGATGAGCACTAGAATACGTTGGAGATGTAACATGAAACTGGATCATGTGTTTAGCAGATATTTTGTGTTTATATTTTACTACATATCACAATAAACAAATGATGATAAATAAACGAGAAAAGTCGCACAGCGACGTTTTAATTGTCCCGCTGCTATGCGTATACGAAAAACAATGCGTGCGTGCATATGCTGGCGGTTATTTTAAATCGGAAGATTTTTAATCTTGCTTGTTTTTACGAAAGTCAGAAGCTTAAGTAGAAGACTACCTGTACTTGTAAAGTGTTGCCCATTACTATTTACACCCGTTGATTTTATATGCATGTTGTATTTTTCTCCTGAATACAAAAATATTTTCTTCTGTATGGTGACTTTTCAGTAGGCATGGTGTCCGTGGTTGCGAAACTCTGTTAAATTGAATTTCACAACCAGGAACAAAGAACTATGAATACAACGTTGATAAACCGTAAAGGCCCGTCCACACGAGTACGCTCGAAACGTAGCTGACGAACGCTTGCGAAGAGTGCGTTTAACCAATAGAATTATTTTGCGCAAAAATCACGTGACGCTGTAATATAGCGTCAACAGAGCTGTATCTTATTACTTCGCGTGTTTCTGTATGTTTGCGGCAAGTTGTCCAAATCAGATGATTTTTTTAATAGCTGAAATTTTACTATTAAGTGCAATTATTAAGCAGAGGCAAAACCGCAAAAAAATGGTAAGAATGGGTCCGAAAGATTTATTTAGAGCGACCTGTTCAAAGAGTTTTTTTTTTAGATGTTTTTTTTACTGCCTCGTTTACAAAAGGAATATCCGGAATTATTAAATTCCTACTATTATCTCACACTCTCCCTATATCTTGTTCAAATTTTCAGTACATAAAATGCTTTTTATTCATCAAGTTCAAATACAATTTTTTAAACTTGTAGTGAATGACACTTGATGTTAATACAGCTTTTTCACATATTAAAATTTTTAAATTTTTAATTTTAAAAAATTCTGTTTGTATTTTTATTTATTTATTTGTATTTTTTAAATTTTTCTTTGTGGACCTAAGTAGGAATTGACTTTTTTTTTTTAACTATTACTTGTTTTTTAATTACTTCAGGATGAGTATCTACCAGTTTGACAGACTTGCAGATTCTATATTGTATGAAAATTAGGATTTATAAAATTGGTTTGGAATACAGTATATAAAGAGAATTAAATTACTTAATTCTCTTTATCTACCCCATCCACCATATAATAAAACCAACTTCCTATTTTTTTAACTCCCCCTCCCTTGGCCTTTTGTTTTTCTTTTTATTTATTTTTCAATTTAGAATGAGGTTCAAACTTTGTACAGTTTATGAGAAATTATGTGCATGATAAAATATGCAAAAGTAAAAATAAAGAGAATTTATAAGATGATATATGATAAAGAGATGCAGATATACGAGTATTATTACATAAGGATTTCTATTTGCAATGCACATTTTTAAACTAAATTAAAAAAATAATGATGATGAATAAAATAAGAAACGAAAACATATATAATAGGTAAAATAAGAATATAATGATTCATGATTAAATATGAGAAAAACTAACTGAATTTATGTATTAGCTACGGGTGAGATCTCGAACTCGCCACCTTTCGCATTTCCACAAAGCAGCGCGCTGACCACTCAGCTATCTGTGATAGCAGTATTCGTGAACAATAATGTAAGAAGTAAAAGTCGTTGCAAAGGTAATTTAATTAAATTTCAATAAATGATTGCTGTATGACACAAGTTGTAACTTTTCTCCAAAATTTCGTGATTGTATTTTATTGAATACTCTTTCACAGTCAACTGCTTTATTTTAGAAGATGTTATATTGCTGAAGTTAGTTTTGGGTGTATTTAATATTGGGATATTTATAGAGCTTTTTATTACACATGATATAGCCAATATTTATAATAATTAAGGATAATTTTGTAAGGCAGAAATTTTGATTTCGTAGAAACTGTAATTTTTTTAGGTTCCTATTACTTACGGTGTTATAAATAGGTGAAGCATATATTGGTCGGATCATTGCTTTATAAATATACAGTTTTTCCCTTTAATGAGAATTTTAAATTTATACCAATATATATGGTTTGAGAAATCTGAAGATGGAGTGATTATTTTATTGCTGTATACACTTATGATATTTCTAAGCAAAAACTCATCTCTGTGTGGTTCTGACGCCATATTGAAACGGGTAAGCAAGAAGGTTTTCTGATTATGACACGTGATAAGAACTCGGTCGGCTATTGGACGAACGCGCGCGTCGCGGGCGAAAAAGCTGAACAGGAGCGTACTCAGTTTTACGTCTTCTGCGTCATGCGAATTTACGCCGGCGTCAAAAAAGTTGCGTCAACTACGTCGGGAGCGTCCTCGTGTGGACGGGCCTTAATGATTAAAAATAGTTTACTATGCGAAAAGTTAAAAAAAAAAAATGCTGTGGTTAAATCAAAATAACTTGAATAAACTAAAATGTATTTTCTATACACGTCACAAGTTTTCCAACATAGATTTGCTAACATAATACAATGAACTTAAAGTACCTTAAACTTAGTTACGTCTGTCCATTAATAATCAGTGTTAGGTTCAGAGTTTTACAGCTTACTACGAGGCCCAGCGGTAACTCACTAAACAGTTGTAGTTCAACTTGGGTTCGATTCCACACGGACACGTTGGATGTATGAGCGTTTTTGGTGTATTCTTAATGTATAACGTGGATACGACCTAGTTTCCTTCAGTAAGCCCACCACGAAGGCGTCCCCTTCCTTAGGCAAATAGCCCTAATGTATTTTGGTATAACAAAATAAGACAAACCATCTCACGAATTCTAAATTTCTCTCAAGCCAAGCTTGAAAGCGCAAATGAATCATTAGTTAACATGCTATTTTTAAATAAATTCTTAATATCCCCTTCGTGTAAGCTGTTTGCCTTTTCTTCTGGAACTCAATTCTTGCGTAGAGTGAACTCAATTCGTGCGTACTAAAATGGAGTAGATAAGGTAGAGCGAAACATAAAAATTCGTTGGAAATTCGCCAATAAATGTCTGGATATTTTTAAATAGACATTTCGAAAAATGTTAACTGTAGCGAGAAATTTTATTTATCGCAAATGGTTATCTCCAGAAATGTATTTAAGGAAATAAAATTTCAAGCAGGTAGCACTATTTTAGTTCAGATAACACTGTCAGGACGGCCCACAGCGGCCAAGGAATAAAGTCGCTGAACATTGGTAGTTCGCTTCGGAATTCAAATTCCGGCAAATGGGCTGGGTGCATGGGCGTTTTTTTGTTTACATCAAGTGTAACGTGTATATCTCTCTAAGTCCTCCCCAAAGGCACTCCTCTCCTTAGGCAGATGATAGCCCTCGAGTGCTTTGCGGTTATCAAGTAAACCAAATCGAATCGTTTAAGGGAGTCTCGTAGAAAATTACGCTCTAATTCTCTCGAGAGGTTGGTAATACAGAGGAAGAGAAATAGAAACTCTGAAATTCCATCCTCGGTACTAGACCTTGAAAAAATATATGAACAAATCTTATAATTCTTGTGCGTGTTACCTAAATTAATTAGTCTAAATCCTGTAGGATTTATTCTCCGCCTTCTAAAAGAACCATCAACTTTGGGAAGCGGTATAAGAAGGGTAGGAAGAGTGTTGAAATTTGACATCGTGAGATACCTTAGAGATAGTGAACGTGCAGCTTAGTACTTCTTGAGGAATATAGTAGCAAGGTACTTCTTGAGGAATGGAGCAGCGTACAGTAGTCCCCCTCTTATGGCATTATAGCACAATTGTACCACAGTTTCTTAAAAATATCATCAGCCTGTTACTGCTGATTTGCCAGTTAACCATTTCATAAGCTGAAATGTAGTCTCATTGCTAAATAAAACGCGTTCTTTTAAACCTTAATTTTCAATAGCTTCAAAGTGATCCGTCTGCATACAAAAGGGAAGTCTCTTTCAAGAAGGTATGGAATACTTGAATGTTGAAAGTACTTTTCAAGAGGTACTGTAGAGTTCTCCAAACAACTGTTTAAGGGAAAATCGACCTTCTCTGAACTGCTTTAATCCTTTGAGCTGTCTGCTAATGTCGATAGGCTTGCTAAACATATTCCTTCAGCCCACATTCCCTCCTCCAAAACTTGTTGATACTGTTGTTGGAATTTCTTATAAATCATTCTGAAGAGAGTTTAAACTATTTAGGATTGCGCAAATAAAAACATTTCTTTCTTCAAGGGACGACGCGTTTTCAGTAACTGTTAATATAATTCTTAATCCTTTTAGGAAAATTCATAAATAGGAATTAAATCTTCACTTTCAATAGATTTGGTTCATTTGGGAATTTTTCTTCATTTTATATTTCTTTCGAAATTACCAAGACAAATTTAATGATGAAATTTGGATTTTCAGCTGATCATCTAACCCTGTACAACAGTACTCTCAACTCAGTATATCTGGCTGACATGGTAAAACGGGTTGTCACTTTGAACACTCCACAGCGCATACCTTCGCATAAGTCTTTCCTCAGTTCTGTTGGCTTAGCAAAACCGAGCTTTGCCGTCGATATTAACGGCGTTGAAATTTCCAGTTATTCTACAAATGTTGTCCTGAAGGATAAGGCAGCTGTCATATCAGCCAGAAAACATTTCAAAAGGTAAGAGAAATTTTAAATATATAATTCCATAAGCTAAAAGTATTAATAGCCTTGTAGATACCTAATTTAATACTATTGTAAAAATAGAATTTTAATAGTCATTCAATATCATCGATGTAAAATGTTTACCTGTAACTTTCATTTTATATTTTTTAATCAGCTGTAAATTTTTTTAAACGTAATTACATGGTCATAATCATATCGCTGTAGTTTACAAAATTTAGTTGATTTATGTGCATGTAAAAATTTTTTGACTGAAAATAACTCGTACGCATCGCATGTCGAAATAATTCGAATAAAATTATTATATTACGTGCAACGCGCAAGAGACAGATTTTAAGAGAAAGCGATGCCGAAAAATCAAAAATACAGGAGCACGTGCATTTAACATTAAGTAAAAGTTTATCTTGGTAATTCATACTTGAATTGAATAAATGCAATATAACACTCTGTTAGCTGTAACACTCCTTTCCACACTCCTTTTGCTTTCCAGAAATCTCGAGAAGCAGAAAATGCTAGAACTATCTCGCCCGGCCGGTTAACAACTTTTCAAAGCCCGAAGAGTGACATCTCAGCTCAGTTGCTCAGTTACTGTTATTGCGAGTTGTTTAGTTAGCTGCTGTTATTGTTGATCGGAATTAGCTTTCTCTTTAAATGGGCTGTGTATTGCGTTCGATATAACGTTTTTAGTAGTTAGGAGTATAACTAATTATATTGCGTGATATTGTGTACTTGTACGAATATCTTTGAGGAAAATTCCAGCATTCTGTTATATTTCTTTTGATAAGAATAAATTTTATTAACCTTTTATCGGACTTGCGCATTCAATCTATTACAAGCCCGTACGCACGCAACAGTATATTTTAAGCATTAATATTTCTAGGTAGATTGAATTTTCAGAGTAACTGAATAAAGTCTGAGAAAACAAAAAACTGGTGATGTGTGAAGGTCACAATTAAGGTGTGCATTTGTATTACTTGCACATAGAATTGCGTGTCAAATGTGCTATACATTCTAATGTTTCTAATACAGATTTATCGAAAGCGAGGCAAAACTAAAAAATAGCAGTTCTCTCATTGAAGCACCGTCAAGACAAAAATCAGATGTTCTGAAACAGAAAATACTTGGCTTTATTACCCCGATTTCTTTAGCTTTTCATTCACATTGTCAATTAGAATGTGAGTGAAACTTTCAACGAAACATGAAAGGTCTAGTCTAGGTGTTCTCAACCGAAGTAGAACTGCATAGTTTCGGAGGGGAATGCATTGTATCCTTTAATTACTATTAAATATTTAGTTTCAGATTATGAATATTGTTACGAATTTTGTATTTAGATGGCTAATTTTAGTAGAATTATAATAAAATTGTTTTATTCCCTCGTGCATTGCAGCGTGTGATAAATTTTAAGAGAAAGCTACCCCGAAAAAGTGAAAAATATGAAAGCACGTGCATTGAATAAATGAATCTCTTTTATTTGTATTGAAATTGAATAAATGTAATTGACTATTGTGTTAGCTGTAACCTAATTCCATCCTCATGTTGGTTTCCAGAAATCGCAAAGCAAAGAAATTGCTAGAACTCGCAACCAAATGAAAGCTTTAAGGGGAGTTGGAACCCCAAAATCTTCAAAACATTGTGATTTCGGATTTTTGCATTTTCAAATTCTCTACACTTTTCTTTCTAAAAATACCATTCTTTAATCTCTATGAAAATTAGAACTGTAAAAAAATCTAGGTTTAATTTGTCATCTACTGCTTCGATCAATGATGATTTTTACATAAAAACGCGTTTTTCTCCAAACTTTATTTTTTTTACACTCGATGTACCTTTTCTCAGGAACTACTGCTCACAGGTACCTAAACATTTTATGGCTTATTTACTAGGTTCCCTAATCTTTACTGAAATGAGCTTTTTGTAATAAACTTAGAAAAAAAATTTAAATTTTTTTGTGTGAGAAAAGTGCTAAATTTTACTATGCCTAACAAAATATCGTGTAATTTACTCTAAAATTAAAAATGTTTCAAAAGCTCATTTCAGTATAATCAGATAAATATACCTTAATTACAGAAAAAATTTCAAACTTGTATCTACAGCAGATTTTGAGAAAAGGTACATCGAAAATGGCCAATTTAACATTGTCAGCATAAGGGTTTCTGATACCCCTTAAAAAGTCGGAGACTGGCATCTCATCTCAGTTGCTTAGTCCAGCTGATGTTATTGTTCATAGGATAGCTTTCTCAGCGTTGTGGATTGCGTTCTGTTTAACGTTTTAGTAGTTTGAAGGGTGCATTTAATCTATTACGAACCCGTACGCACGCAACAATGTAAACTTTTATTCATCTTTTTGGTATTTATCAACATTTTCTATATTTTTGTTTAAAAAATAAACAAGCTAAAAATCTAAATAAAAGGTATATTCATTTTTCGAGTTTTGGGAAGGGGAGACATTTTCAAGCATTAGTGAAAGGGGTGCATGAGTAAAACTGGTTGAGAATCGCTTCTCTAGTCGGACGATGACGTAATTGTAGATTGTGAAGATGTTTCAATTCAGCATTATAGCTTCTACTAAAAGTTGTTTCATATATCTTAAATCTAGATCGCCAGAAACATTTGCCTTAACGCCGACGTCAATTTCTTTGAAATGAGTTCAGGCCATACTATTTGCGATGGCAAACTATGTTAATACGTTTTTACACTGCTAATTAAAGTATATTTGTGTACCAAAATATGAATATCTCGTGCCTTAATTTTTGCAGAAATGTATGAAGCATGTACAGTTTTCCCTTAGGCATTAATACTTTGTTTTAACGATTTTTTTCCAGAAGTTTTCAGGTAGATAACTTGTTAGTTGGAGGATATATCAATGGAATAAAAGTTGAAGACATGAATAAAAATGTGGTTTCAAAATCGGGAGATAATGAAATTGATTCTATATTCTTTTTCATGGACGATATAGATGTTGGTAAGTAAATTCTGTTACTAGACTTATCTTTTTCACACTTTCTCATATTTCGATATCTAATTTAAGCTGATTTGAGTTAAATACTACTACCAATTCAACTTTAGATAAATATTACCTGTTCAGCTAATAAGTTAATAAAGGTACAAAAATATAATTAAATCTGAGATTCTATTTCTGGCGTACAAGGTTAGGTCATTTATGCTGTTTAAATAAGCTCAAAAAATTTAATTAGCGGACTGTGGGAAAAAATTCAGTGCAATGTTTTTAAAATAGTGTTTAATATCTCATAATTTACTAAATTATTTTAATTTAGTGTTTCTATAGAGTCATTCTTAACAAATAAAAGTATATTAGTCTGAATAATATTTGAAACATGTAATGTAAATTATACGCAGAATTTTTATGGGGATGTACGATTTATAGCTTTTGGTTTCTTTATATTTTACTTTTCCACAGTTAATAGGAACATCCTTTATCTGCCTAACAATGCTTTTGATAGCCTATTTCAAGCCCAGAAAATGATGGATTTAAATATGAAGCGCAATTTATACCGATTTCACATTATTACAAAATAGAAGAATGAGCTTTTGTGACTACCTTTAATTGACTTAACAGAAAAGGTTCCAGCCGCTCAGACGGTATAATGGTTAGGGAACCTACTGCGGTACCGAAGGGCCCAAGTTCGAATCCCAGAGAAAGCATAGATGTTTATAAATGTATAGTGTCTTTGCGGCATGGGGATACTCTAAATATATGGCGAGGAGAAAGCCCAGTTTGGTGATTTCGTCATGGAGGTAGTAAGTTTATTCTTACCTCCATCGGTTTGGTGGTAGGGAAGAGAGGTGGGAAATGGAAGACCCTATGATACCCCCCCCCGAGGGTCTTTCCCTCAAAATTGGGGTGTAAGTAGTACTCCAGCCTTCTTGAGGCTCTGGCAACTTTTCTTCCATGAAATACAGGGACAAAACAACAATGAAAAGGTCACAGGTTCCTCAAACAAATGCTGCATGCGTTATTACAAGTAGATTAGAGCTCGCAATGCATTTATATTGGCAGTTAACAGGTAAATATTAGCGCATAAAAAGTTAAGTAAAAAATTTGGAAACGGTAATTAAAAGTTAATGATATAAATTTATTAATATATTATTTTCCCCATATTTTGAAAGGTAACTTGGTAACAGGATCTTCGTTAGATGATGTAAACTGGAATGATTTGATTTTCCTAAATCAAAACGAAGTCTTGGGTCCCGCTTGGTTCCTGTCTGATACTCACGCTACTGCCGATGTATTTATAAATGGATTGCTGAATGGTTGCGATATTACAGAAGTAAGTTTTTAAGTGCCGCACACTGTATATTTTTTATTTAGTATGAGATTTTTGATTAATATGTAAGCAATGTTAAAAACAGATAGAAAACTTATTAAGTGGACACGAAAGTAAGGTACATACATTACTTCGTTAAAACTAAACACTCAAGCCGGTGACCGAATGGATAAGATCGCTGAACACTGATAGTTTAACCTTCGTTTGAATTCCAACAAATGGGCTGAACGGATGGCTGATGAGGATTTTTCATGTGTAACGTGAGTAGAAGCCAGGTTCTCTTAAGCTGCCCTTCAGGGCTTTCCTTGCTTTAGGCAAATAGCTCTCAAGTGCTTTGCTGTAATCTAAATAACCCAAACCGTTGACAGCTTTATCTTAGTTAAAACCATTAGTTAACCAAACCTTCATAATGTCGTCCTAAGTTCCATTCTACAACCTTTGATTGGATGATTTTGCAGACTTTTAAAGTAATTTACTGTAATCGTGTTCAGGTGAAAAGGGGAATCGATCAATGTATTTAAATAGGCCTAGAAATTTGGCAAAATAAGGTTTACAATATGTAACACTTCTCTCACAAAAACAGGTTCACTTCTGCATTTTTTGCATGTAAAGGTTTTTAATGATTTATAAAACGGTGTTAATAAATGTGTTTTATTTTTTGCTGAGGAAATTTTATAGAATTTTATTAATATATATAAAAAAATTATGGTAATTTACCCAGTTTCTCATCAGACGTTCCTTTTTATTTACTATCATAAATAAATGTTAAGCAATTTTTGTGCTTGTAATTACTAGTCATAATTTTTCATAACTAGATAGGATTGATAAACTTGTATCTTCATACCCATCTTTATAAATTAAAGGTTTTCCAAGAGACTTTATTTCGTTATGTAAAGTACGACTTCAATCTAATAAGTTTCTTCCCTCTAGTGAAAAATGGCGTAATTTAACATGAAAAATAATTCGAGAACCAGTCGTATATATATATATATTAATCGATCAGAAATAAATTTCTCAGCTAATTTATATCTGAATCCTACTCGGTAAAAGATGAATATTCAACTGATTTTAATAACTACATTTCTTTTTATGAAAGAACGTCGTTTGTAACTAATTGCAGGTCACTTACTATAACAAAATAACGGCACTATTATTTAATTTCAGCTTGGACGTCTAGCGCTGTATGCGAAGAAGCCATCTCAAATATTCAAAGAGGAAATGAAAATTGAAAGCATAGAAGTTATTGGGAATGTTAATATTTGGAGCACTATAAATGGTATATCCATTGAAAATTTCAAGGAAAAGCTGATCACTCTTTCTGGTGCACAAACAATAGTATCCAATGCTTTTATCGATTCAACATTTGCAGTGGCTAATTTCCACATTAGTGATTTGTTAAATTTTGTCAACTTGTCGCACATAATGAAAGATGCTGTTATGAAATCTATTCCTCAGGTAAGCTAATATTTCGTATGTCTTCAAAATTATGTTTAAGATTTATATTAGAATTAAAATAAAAAATACTCCTTTAATGCTTAGATAGAATAGTTTGATACGATTGAACGTTTTATACAGTAAATAAATATTCTTTGCATTTTATCGAACAAAAACATATCGTAAAATACAAAGAAAACTTACCTTATTTAGCTGCACTTGTTTCACAATCAACTTGGTCGTTAATTGGACCGGTTTGGGAGTGGTGCTAGAACACCAGGGTGCCTGGGCCGAAGGCCCTACTATAACCGTTAAACATGCTTGGAAAATGCTTTTAATTTTAGACCCATTGAATTTAAAACATAAAAGTTTGGCTTCCTTCAAAAATTCTTTGGCCCTTCGTTTCTCTTAAATTTGCAGCAATACTTCATCTATCGCAGATCGCTTGGCAGTAATCTTTTGCAAATAAAGTTTATCTATAGTCAGACGAGTTGGTTGCGAATTATCTTATCCCCTAAAGTGAAAGTTAAACATTAGTTAATCGGAAGTGATTTCATGGTGTCAGAAAGAATCCAAGTTTTTTAGTTCGCCTTCATTTTGAAGAGCTAAGGAAATTCGGGAACAATGTATGGCAAAATTAAAGGTTTAATAGAATTTTTTATAAAAGGAAGGATGTAATGTTCTATAAATTAGTCAGCAACGTGAAAGATAGAAGGCTGATTTTCGTTTCTTCCAGCATTTACTTAACCTAATAACTGATTCCTGAGTGTGATGTTAAACTTACGAACTGATTCCTAGTTGTGATGTTAAACTTACGAAAATTTTCAAATCCTGTAAGTAACCATAAGAGGCTAGAATTTTGTTTTAATTAGCTTACAGAAAAAGTCTGATTTCTCATCCTCGTAATAAAGTCATCTAGTCAATATAATTCAGTGTTTGCTAAAAGACATTGGACTGCAGCAGTGTTTTGCAGTAGTTCTCGTCTTTTAACAAACTAGAACATATTTAAGATACCAATGCTCAGACGATATGTCTTTAACCATTTCAGCTCTTTTATCCAGACCCATGAGGTTTAAGGATACTTTATATACTTCTAGCTTACAAGTGGCCATATAGGCAAACTTCCCTGAACTCTGATAGTTTAACGGTTTTAGTCCTGGTGAACAGGTGGGCACGAGATTATGCACGTATAAAGTAAATGCGTATCAGTTTGTTATTCCCTTAAATAGCCCTCGTATACTTTATTGTATTTAAAGCAAAATCAAATCGTACACATCGTCTGCAAAAGAAATGGTAATTTAATCATTGCTGTTATCTCAAACAATACTCCTATCTACACGAAATGCAAAAACGTATTAGCCGGTCTCATTTTCGCGTTCTACGAAGAATCAAGGTAAGATAAATGTGGGTTACATTGTATATTTCACTATTACTGTTTAGATTTGAACTGATGGTTTAACTAAGGCCCTGTTTCAATCAAATAAGATTTCAGAGAAAGATCTTTTAAAGAAGTTACTGAATGGAAATTATAGAAAGAAATGCTACATGAAGATGGCTAGTTTAATTATCTCAGTGTAGTTGTAGTTTGCATAAATTGTCGAGAGATCGTAGAAAAATTATTATTATAACTAAGTTGTTTTTAATCCTACTGTAAATATGCTAGAAAGCAAATGTGGCCCTTTTATATTCGAAAAAGATCCTGAAAAAACTAAAAATTGTCAAAATTCTGTTACTTAACACATTTATCTGAAGTAAAAACCAATTTTTTAGGATCGTAAAATCGAATTTTGCGATATAACAGTATTTCGAGTTTTAGCATTTCTGCTATTGAGAACTTAAAAATTCTTTTATACAGGGTGATCCTAAATTGTTTTTACAAATTAAGGGTGATAGCACTCATCCAGAGGAGCAATAATTACCATAGAACATAGGGTCGCATTCCACTTTGAGAGACAGAAAAGAGGAATATTAGAATTCCAAACTGAACTTAACAACAGTGTTAGGAGAGCGAATGGACGAGAAGAAAAGTTGCACAATCAAGTTTAGTGAAAAACTCGCAGAGATTGCACAAAACGGATAAAACCAAAAACTTGGCGTTCGAGCGTTAATTCGAGCTCGGATATTGATGGTGTATAATCATAATTTCTTAGAAAATAAAAGGTAAAAAGATTTACCTTTTAATCGATCTTCTTTCTAATCCAAAGGCATATCCGGGAACATTTTAATTTCATTCATCGATGCACTACTAGGCTTCTAAGATAATAAGATATTTAATTTACAATCACATCGCTAAACTAAAATATATATATATAACACAGAAGAGAAGGATTACGAGTTCCATTCTCTGGATACTTTTCGACACTGGAGTAAATCACAAACTAACGAAATCATCTACAAGCAGATTTTTTGAACATAGAAACAAATATAGGAAATATCTCTCTATATACAGACGGATCAAAATACCAGGATCATGTTGGTGCCGCTTTTGTCACAGAGAAAACAATAGTAGGGGTTCGATTACATACAGTTTGCTCTGTGCTTACTTCTGAGCTTACTGCAATCCATCTGGCTTTGACTTACCTTTCAAAACAAAAGTACATAAAGTTTATTATCTACACAGATTCCATGAGTGCCTTAATGTCATGGAAAATCACGCTCAATGTACTCACCCAGTTGCAACCAGAATCCTGAAGTTGAATCATTCTTTAAAAATTCGGGGATACCAGATTCTTTATTCGCGGATCCCTGGACACGTTGGCCATTAAGGGGAATGAATTGGCGGATATTGCAGCTAAAACTGCAACCACAATGTACAATCTTCAGATTCCACTAGCAGACATCAAAGGGTTTGTCAAAAGCAAAATTCTCAGCAAATGGCAGAAGCAATGGGATGACAAAGTATATAACAAGCTGAGAAATGTAAAACCCACCATTGGATACTGGCCATGTATGGCTAATAGAAGGGAGGATGTTCTCTTGACTCGACTGAGAATTGGCCATTGTCGCCTGATCCATGAGTATCTTCTGAAGGGAGAAGAGAATCCCAGCTGCCCAAACTGCAATGCAGATCTGACAGTCCATCACGTCTTGGTGTAATGCCAGTTTTAATTATTTTCGCCAAAAACATTTTAATTGTTCAGTAGTGGACTTAGGAAATTTAATTGGAAAAACACATCATCGTAATTTGTTTGTTTTTAAAAGATATTGGCTTTTATAATAGACTTTAACCTGTTTTTTAAAAGATATCAGCTTTTATCATAGATTCTAATCTCTCTGTTTTTAACTAAGCTGGAAGTTTTTACAAATGACTAATTGCATTGTTACCATTTGTCTGGCGCAGATAACCTTGACAGGTTTTTTGTCAAATTACAATAATCCAATCCAATCCATTCCATCACGAGTTCTCAAAGCTCAGTTAAAAACAGGTTCTGTTTTAGTTTTTGCTGCGCGCATGCGCAAATCACGTGGTTGTCGGTGAGAGTTTCAACAGATGGCGAACATTCAAATGCACATCTTTGGTTGGCAAGGTGTCAACCTTGCAAACGATTGCAACAAGTTAGTTAATAATATTCAGCCCTAGATTAGATAATTAACTCCAACACTCGGCTGTATGCCGAGATTAGCATGTAAAGTTCATGCTGTGTTCCGGCTGTCAGAACTTCGTGTCCCATAGAAGGGCGCTTCTAGTAGAATGAGATCAGCACAGTAACTCCAGGAGGATGGATAGAAGATGGCGAAAAGCGGGGAAAAAACTGCTACCTTGAGGGATACTTGATACCAAGGTTGTTTTTTCAATTTAGATAATTAATTTGTTGCAATCTTTTGCGAGGTTGAGATTTTGTCAACCAAAGATGTGCATTTGAGTGTTTGCCATCAAAGTCTGAGCTCGAATTAACACTCGAAAGCCAAGTTTTCGGTTTTATCCGTTTTGTGCACATCGGGTTTTTCCCAAACTCATTGTGCAACTTTTGGTCTCGTTCATTCGCTCTCCCTACACTGTTGTAAGTTCAGGTTGAAATTCTAATATTCCTCTCTTATGTTTCTCAGAGTGGAATGCGACCCATGTTCTATAGTAATTATTGCTCATCTGGATGAGTACTATCACCCCTCTTAATTTGTTAAAACAATTTAGAATCACCCTGTATAAGTATTTCTCTGTAGTATTTGTTTAGAAATTTGAACTCGTAAATTCAACACACATGGCTACTTTTGGAAATATCTGAATGCGGGTAAAAGTTTAGATTTTACGCAATATTTTGACTAAATAAAAGTGGATGATTTGTAAAATGTCTCGACATCCCCCCGATAGGCCACATGCTTCATATCTTAAAAGATGTCACGTAACCCAAATTATGTTATCCTCAAAAGCCCATCATATTTGAACTAAAACCACGGATTTAACCTAATAAAAGATTTAATTGTGCAGCTTTTTTGAAATACCTTGCTAACATATAGGTAACAATTTTCGAGAGCTGTAATGAATTGGAGAAGTTTTGCGTTGTAATAATTTGGATACTAAATAACATAATGGATAACGCTTGCAGACAGACGTATCCATATATTCAACATAATTTTATTATTGGATAAAGCTGATCTCTCAAGACTCTTAATAATTCATATTCTTACTTTTTTTATTCTTCTGACACCAGTTGTTACATTTTCTTCCTTTACGTTCGTACAGGGTTCGTAGATTTTTGGAGTGAATAATGACTCTACTTGATGAAGTATCGAAGTGCACTTTATTAGCCAGTATTGTCAGAACAGCTCCAAAACACGTTTACAGTCGTCGATGAACTACTATAAACCCGCTGACGCCGTCAGCGACACAGCCTCCAGGTTATCAGGCTATCATGGTGGAGACAGCTTCACGGCAAAGCACTAGAGTACAGCTCCCGACTCTGCTTGGTCGTTCTCGGAACTTCACGTGCTCTCGAGACTCTTCACGCTACAACTCTCGATGCACTCGACGACACTCGGAGCACAGCTCCCGACTCTTCGGTTCAGTCGTTCCCGGAGCTCAACATGCTCTCTCGACGATGCATGCACTAACCGCGATACACTACGAGACTCTTTCGGTGCACTCGACGACCTACTCGGCACTCGCTGCCCGGCTGTCAACTCGATTGACTCGCTAGACGAGACACCAGCTCGATACTATCTCGCACTCTATACGAGGCATTAACTCACTCGCCCTTTCAACGAGGCACTCTGACTGCGGACTAGCAGGGTTTATATAGCTTCGGCTTGTGTTTGAGAATATTCTGTGCTAAACCGGTAAGAATTCGTTCCAGAAGGTTCTCCATCCGTCCATGTATATCGCCAATTTTGTGGCCAAATGTGGCAACCCTGCCATCCCTTGTTATTTTATGGCAACCCTAATCCTGCTTTGCGGGAAACCTCTCACCGCGCCTGTACATTTCGTAACAATATTATGGGTGCGATATGCACCCTGCACCTAATATTTTTTATAACTTCAGATTTTTTATAACTTGCATCTTCAGACAATGGACGAAACAAAGTAGCAACCAACGCGGGTGTTCGTTAAGAATAAAGCAAGAGCGGAAAAGTGACTGCGCATTCAGAAGAAAGCGAGAGAGTGAAAAACTTTCGGTTCTTAACTGAAATGTTTAACTTGATATGTTAAACTGTGTTTACAGTGCAGCGTTAATCGATATAATATGATGCGAATTAATTTTGAAATAATGCAGTTTTAGATTGATATATTAACAGTTACTGTTTTGGAAACAAAGGCGAAGTTCTCAAATTAAAATGAATGGCTGTTGTTAATCAAACTTAGAAGTTTGCTTTGATATTATCTTTCATGTATGTAATATATCCATTACAACACCAAAGCCATATGAGGATGTTTTATTTCTTGCAGTTTAAATGTATTTTTTATGCCTTTCACGTCTCAAAATATGCTGAAAGAATAGTGAACAGTCTTGGGTACAGAGAAAAGATCCCAATCTTCATATGACGAGATGCGTTAAAAAATTTTCCACAAAAAGATACTTGCACTAACGTTATCTGCTAGCCACCCTTAGATTTCTCTTATAACAAATCTTTTTTACTTCCTTGTACAAAGTAAAAGAAATACTATAATCGCGAAAAATTTCGGGTATCGTATTTCAACGAAAATATCCATTTTGACAGCTTTCTAATCCATTTAAACTGCATTTTCGTGATATGTGCAAGTACCGACAGAATCTTACTTTTTCCTTCAAATCGGATTGAAAAAATGGCTTTAAAATGGATTCGGAAGAGAGTTTTCGTGATGTCTGCATCTTGCATAACTCAAACGAGTAGCCTCAGAATGTAGAAATTTTGTATGTGGAACTGCTATAAGCATGTAGTTGGGCATTTCAATTTTTGGTTGCAATCAGTCTGACAAAAGTATTTAAATATAACCCAATTTGTTACCCACATCAGCGAGCTCAGTTATTTTATATATTGGTAAATTATGCAGTTTTTGCTTTAAAAGGGATCGAATTATGTTTTTATGTTCCGGTTAAGGTTTTTATGCCTTTAATTAAGCTGCATGTCATAGTTGTAGAATTATCAACAATTTAAAAGTTGTTTAATTACCGCTAATCCTAACGAAACCGCCATTTGCTTACATTTGAAAACTCTTTGTAGAATACTGAATTAAGTCAGTTTCTGCACCTACAGTGTCTTTTTGCCTAGTGGAATCAAATGTAAACTTTCAGTTTTCTGCACCGGAATATCTGCTTTCTTGTCCGCCGTCCGAATTGCTTGTTTTTGTGTAGGAACACTAATTTTAATTGTAAAAATTTTTAAACCGTTTTAAGTACAGTCAAAAGTCGTTAATTCGGACACCCATAATTCGGAATGATCTATAATCCGGACATAAAAACTAAAAACTTTCTGTGCATGCGCCGCGTTGACACATGCGCAGAGGCGTTCACGCGTGCGCGTAAGACCTTTTACGACTGCGCATATGAGTGTGCGCAAGTGCAGAATACGTTTTCGCGTGCGCATTTTATGTATAATGGACGTATAAGCTCAAATTATCTAATTATCTATTTCAGTTAATGTTGATGATTGCGTTGTTCCTTAATTTTCGAATTGCATCCGGCTTATTATTTTTTGCAGACTGTAAGAGCAATTTTATAAAAGTAAGCTTAAACTTTCGATTATATCAAATAGAATTTCCGAATATATTGTTAATATGTAAAGGAGTAAAGGATCTAAGCAAAAAAGTGTGTTTTGAAATCCGAAATCTGTTTATCAATTTCACGCTTGCTCGGCGGCGGGGCGCGTAATGAATTGGAAGTTGATTTGTCAGCACTATCCATATCTTCAGCGCAGATGTTTTTATTTTATTTGGCTTATAATTCCTTACCAAATGTAGTATTTCATCTCGATATGCTCCGTCTTTGATATGATTTAAAACAAGTTCCTCGTCATTATAATTCGCTTCCGATAGCGAAGAAAAAGTGACAGAGGTTATTGAAAACAAAAAAATTTCGATTGACAAATTAGTCGGTGGTCTAGACACAGCAATTATAGGACTTGAACGGCGGAACTTTGTAACTGAACAAGAAATTATGTCTGTTTAATAGAATTAAACAGAAAGTATTATCACATGAAACGAAGCAAAACTTAAACAACTTACATTGAAAGAAATGTTTAATAAAGTAAACAAATAAATATTAAGCTTTTTCTTTTTGCAAATTTTGATACCCTTTAGATCATAATTGTTCTTTATTTCATAAATTACGGTTTCATATTTTTAATTTTAGAATTTCTGCATGCCATCTTACGAGATTTAAACTGATGATCTATAATCCGGAAAAATCGATAATCCGGAATCGCCGAAGTCCCGACGAGTCCGGATTAACGACTTTTGACTGTATTTGGTGTTTTACGTTTTGCCGAGTTTTACAATTTTTAATGGAGATATGAGTTTTATGTATTTTTGCCTTGAAGCGAAGTGAGAATTTAATTAATTGAATGAGAAATATATCTATTAACTAAATTCGAGGAAGTAAGTGAAGTGCATAAAAAATGTGTGTGATTTAAGCCGTACCATGAAGTCATGTGGGAGTCGCATCAGATGTTTTAAGTAACTATTACCAAAAAAAGGTCTTTGAATTGTTTGTTTCGTCTTTATTTATTGAAATAACTTACCTAGGACTCTTATATTTAGAACGATTTTTCCCATAGTCGAAATGAACTGATGACGAACTTATGTTTCCTTGCTGAGAGTACTTCATATTTTTTCCTATTTAAAATTATTTGTTGCGTGTTGCCCTGTAACTGGAAAGATTCGAAATTGTGTAGAAATCGTAACTTGACTTAGGCCCACCAGCGGTCGAGAAGTCGCTGAACACTGGCAGTTCGGTGCGAGGTTCGCGTCCCCATGAACGAGTTGGCTGCATAGTTTTCCCATGTGTGACGTGTATATGAGCCATATTACCTTAGAAAGTCCTCCACGAAGGCATCCCTTTCCTTAGGCAGATAGCCGTAGTGTGATTTGACATCATTAAATAACTAAACCTGACCTTAACTTTATCCCTCAAAATCCAAAATACACAATCTTTAAAAGCGCTTCCATCAGAGACTGCAAATTCATGTTCTTTATGGTGAGCGTGGAGGGGTTCCTGTCAATATATTATTGCATGCATATATTCATCGTATGGTGTATATATATATATATATATATATTGTTTGCTTTACCAATTTGGCAGTGATTAAAATCGCTGGCTGCATACTAGGAGTTCGATCCGAGTTCTAGCCCATGCAAACGAGCTTTTAGCAAGATTATTTTGCCCCATGCGTAACATGAGTAGGAGCCAGTTTTCCTTAGTCATCCATGAAAGCATGCATTCCCTAATTCAAGTAATCCATACGTGCTTATACAAACAACCTAACATATTTTCGAGTGCCCTTATAAGACAAAGGGGAGAAAAAATACTATTAGTAGTTCGACGAATTCATTTCGTTTAGAAGAGAAAGCCATGAATGAACAGAGCAGTTTGTGTTTAAAATAGCTGCCTGATCTATGTTTTTGTTGGCTAAATGTTTTTTCAGATAGGAAGAAATTAAAGTAGAGGAAATTTTAACTTGAAGTAAGCTATTGAGTTTATATACTGAAATGCTCTTTAAAGTAATGGAGGTAATTATTCTAATTATATGAATTTTCATAACCATTTGAAACAGTTTTTCACTCATTTATCATCTCAATTCTTTTAAAGGAAGTAAGTGGGCACAAACAATTCATCAGCTCCTTGAAAACGGATATCATCGTTACCAACAATGTGTTCTTGGAAAAGCTTAATGGAATTAATATAGAAGAACTGGAGAAAATGGCTGTATGGAAGACGAGTGATCAAATTATTGAAGGAGAGAAAATCTTTTCCTCAATTTTCGCCCACGTGGCTACTTTTAATGGTAAGTTGTCTTAAAGGAGCAAAATTAAATAAATGAGTGCTAGAAACGTACCAAAGTAACTTCTAAATGCTATTTTTAATTTATTTCAGCTTATCTTAACGGTCTTGTTTTACCCCGAGATGTGGTTAAGACAGATACTGCAGAAATTATTGCAAGTCCAGTATTTTTCGTGGCAGATTTAACACTTAATGCAGATCTCATGGGCTACAGCAAAATCGATGGAGTGAACATAGACGGTCTACAAAAAGATCGAGTTACTTTGAGTGGAAAACGAAGCATATCTTCTTATTTGAACTTCCGGCAAGACGTTGTAGTTTATGGTAAGTAATTTCAGTTAGACTTTTCTGGAACTATTTCAAGAGATGCCGTCTGTGGAATCTTATTGTTAGATTTGATATTTTATTTGCATAATATAAAATTTTCTTGATTTTTCTATTTAAATTATATTTCTATTTAAATACATTGTGGTATCAATATGAATATTCTTAAGTATCAGAGTAAAGAAATGAGACATTTTTTTTATCCTGTAACTGGAAATCGTACAGTTTTCACTTGGGTTTTTAATGTGTGAAATAGGGACGTGTAAAATTTTCATATTTTCCATGTTCTTCTATTGTGTAATGAATGATTTTTGTAGAAGTTTAGACTAGCAAAACTTAGTTTCACTTTTGCAGTTCAAAATAGCCAAACTTTAAAGAAAAGTGAAATCTAGTAACAGTTCTATTGAATTAATCTAGCATTTAATAAGCTAATAACATATTGGATAATTTTGTCAAACGTATTAACGTTGTTATTATGAAAGTAACTGCATAATTTAATCACCCTTGAATAGCTAATATTTGATTCTTCATACTATCAGTAAAATTACATGTTAAGAATGTAATTTAATACTTCGGTCATTATAATTTAAATAAATCAATAAGGAAAGCTAAAGCTTTCTTTCTTTCTTTTTTTTTTTTTTAATAGAAGCTGATACACTTTGAGATTACTAAAATTAGCTTTCAAGATATATTTTATGTAAACTATAAATGAGAGTTGGCGCTACGAGCCGCACTTATATAGTTTGGAGTAATTAGCGTTATTTCAAGACGGTAGCCGTATTTATTTTATATTCACATGACCGAGTATTTAAAGATGTGAAATACGGTCTGTCACTTCGAGTTCTCTTCCTGGTTTAAAGAACTAGCTGCATGGGGTTTACCCAAATGTAATATTACCACTTCTTGGAAAGAAATGTCTTCTACCTTACCCAGAAAATCCTTAATGTTCTTTGTCACAATTGAAATTATAAATGGCTATAGTATTTTAATTCTTATAAGCTGTTTTGCGTGTAGAGCAAAACTGGGATAAAACAGTGTACATTTAACGCCAGTTTTGAAAGCATCTCTGATGTGTCCTTAAATTTTTGACGCTTGAAATGTAATATAGTCTATGCACGTCGTCGGCAGTAGTGGAAAGAAAGACTGTTAATATCCAATCCTTTTTAATAAGGCCTAAATTTGGTAGCTTATCAGCGATCGAGCGGTAAAGTCGTGGAAGACTGTTAGTTCGACCTGGCTTCGATTCTAGGCAAACGGACTAGCTACGTGAACGTCTTCCTGCTTTTTTTAGTGTGTGATGTGCTACGAGCCAGCTCCCTTAGAAATCCTTCACAAAGGCATCCCTTCGCTTAGGCAGATAGGTGTGTGGTGTATTTAATTATGGCAAAGCACACTAGGGCTATCTGCCTAAGGGGAGGATGCCTTCGTGGAGGACATTCTAAGGTAAAATGGCTCATATACACGTTACATATGGGGAAAATAACCATGCAGCCAGCCCGTTCGCGGGATTCGAACCTCAGACCGAACTACCAGTGTTCAGCGACTTCATCGCTCGGTCGCTGGTGGGCTCTGCTTAGACAGACCAAACGTGTTTTGGTCTATCTGCCTATCAAACAAACCAACTTAAAGTTCGCTTATATATTTGCTTCAAAAAGCTAGCATTTTAGTAATAATTTTATTCATACTGCCAGAGATCGCAAAAACCTTTGTTTGACCGCATTCGATTCGTGAATCACCAACTGGTAATTGTAGGCTTGCGACTAGCCCTTCTCTAACTTTTTTTTTCCAATGGCCGATTGTGAGCGATTACAAATGTAACCCAGTCCATTAATCTATACCAGGCCGGATGTGGTGGTCTCTTTATGGAGGCATCTAATAGGTGGGCCACCAACGCCTTCGCTATGAAGGGATGGACAGTTACAGCCATGCCTTCTCCGGGATTCGAACCCAGGCCCTTCGGCATCGCAGTCAGCTTCTCTGACCACTATACCGACTGGGCGGCCCTTCTCAAACTTTACTATCTTATTCTCATTAGTAGCTAATAAATTTTAAAGGTTTTGGAGTTTGCTGTAGCTTTGCAGTAGCAGACCTTTGTATGCAACAAGAGTTCCTCTAGTCTGTATGGAAAAGTTATAAATCAAATCCAAAAGTCGGTTTAATGCATTCGCTGTAGTCTTACCTTTCGGTTTGTAAATCGGATATAACCTTAAAATTGTTTTCTTTAACGAAAGTTTATTCGAAAAATAAATTTGAGTTTCTACTAGTATGCCAAATTTTTATATAAAACCTGGTTTTATTTATTGTATTCCATACATCCATTCTGAAATTTAAATCCTCCTATAAGCGTGTCCGACATTGACACAGTGGTTTATTTAATTCAGATTGCAGCAGATGGCATGTGGTTAGCTGAGACTTTAACTGAAAAAAATATGAAAAATTTCGAAAGTTTTAATTTGTTCAAAGATATTACAAGAATAAAGTAATTCGTGCAAATTGGGTAATCAAATGAGTTTTTAATTCTAAAATAGTACTGCAATTCATTTAGTAGAAGGCATTTAAAAACAAACTTGCTTGTAACTTACGATTTTAACACGTTGACGCCGGTCTCAGCAAACGGTGGGTCATACTTGTCTATTTAGTGGGGCGGCATGTCCCACCGGTGGGTCATGCTTGATTGTTACGCGGACTGGCATGACTCACCGATGGGTCTCGCTTGTATATCAAAAAATGCGTGATGCAAAATTTTAATTATTCAATAGTATACATTAACATTTCAACATTATAATCAAACATTCAATACAAAACAAATAACTTAAAATGTAACTTATAAATTAAATATAATTAATTTTTTCTATGCGATTTTTTTCTTTCTTTGCTCTATTCGTTAGCGTACGGAGTAGCTTTTAAGCTTTCAAAGCTTTTATAGTATTCTTTGCATCGCATTCTCTTCTTCCTCGCAGATCCTTCGTACAAATTTTGAAAAACTGTTCTTTTTTTCTTACTTCACTAGGGGGATTCACAAAGCGGACGGAGACGAAACGAATCGCTAATTCAAGCACCGCCCCACGAAAATAACATAGAATATCCGCACTGTTGTCAAGGTGTTTGTCTTTTTTTCTCCAAAACTAAATGTTTAGACTAAGAATTAAACACACAGCAATATATTAATTATCATTATTTTAAGTAGTACGTAATGAATTAACCTAATGAAAATGGGTTTCAGTTGTATTTCATTCGGTAAAGACAACATAACCTCACTTCAATACATGAAACGAACTGCCAAGTCAATATTTACTTCTAGTCCCTTAATTTTTTCTACTTACGAAAACTTATTTGTTGGCATTAATCCTTTTCTTAATTGGGAATTCTTTCTCTCAGAGGACGTAAGTGTCGATGGCACTGTGAACGAAGTTGTTTTGGAATTGGCTGTTAAAACGAAGAATCAAGCTATTTCTCTCGAAGGCTACAAGATTTTTATTCAAGATTTTGATGTTTCTGACTCTATGACGGGTTCTCTAGTGAACGGTTATGACACAAATAGCTTGGGATACAATATTTTACGGAAGAATAAAGAAGAATTTGTTAGTAATTTGCAAGTAAGTACGTGTGCAACACTGAAAATATTTCCTTCCTCCTATATTTCACTGCTGCATTTAATTGGCTTACTGATATGAATAGCAGTGCTCCATTTTAGTAATATATATTAGCAAACGATATCATAATACTGCTCATCAATTAGATACTTACACATTAAAAGAAGTGGTTTCGTTTTGCGATCATTAAAAATTGTCCATGCCTCTTTCAGTTCAGTATTTTGATCAAATGTTAACAGATTTATGGTGAAGCTAACTTTCATTTCAAATATATATTAAACTATAATTTCTATTGACGGTAATATAGGATGACATCATCTGCGCAATTTTCAATTTATACTACTTGAATAAAAGTTTAAATTTGTGTAATCGACCTTGTATAGTTACCTATCCAAAAATGAAAATTGATTGAATTACGGAAAACGTTCTTCATTGTAACCTGAACTAAAAATTAAATTTTGCACTTTGATGGTAGAGATTTTTGATTTATCAGTTTATGCACTTCATACTACGTAGACACTGAAACTTAAGGGGAATTAGTTGCATACGGTTGCACACAAATTTTCTCTGAGGATGCATTGAAGAACCTCATTTTCTCAAGAGTTTCAGCAAAACTATATTTGCATACTACATTGCTCTTTAGTTTAAATATGCATTCCGTGGAAATATTTTTTCTGTCACTAGCAATGCAGTGCCAGTACACAGCGCCTCGAAAAATTGCGCCGATTTTAAATAGTTGTCAATTTTGTTGTAACTAATACCTTTCTGCTTTTTGCCGCTTTTAAGGAATGCCCTAAGCTTTGTTAAATGCCAAACTGGGACGAAAACGCAGATTTCTGCATAAATCACTAACACTATCCGAAAAGTGAAATGCAAAATTTGTTCTTTTACAAATTTTAAAGAAATTTTATACCAGTTTTTACTCAAAACGTACATGAGAAACTCAAATGAGATTACGGAGAAAATTTTAAAGTTAATTTTGACCTTCTATAATGAATACTATTGGAACATAATAATATTGGAACATATAATGAATACTATTGGTTAATTGTACGAATGACAACCTATATTAATGTGCATGGAAATATAACTATGCATACGAAACTATGACTGCTTACCTTAATATAAATTTTATAATTTTAAGCAATTATAAAGCTCTATATAAACATGATTTTATTCAAAATTTTGGGATAGCCTTGTACATAACTAATTCTACTTAGTTTTGATAAATGCATGTAAAAAACAGACTAATATGACTGGAAATACTTACATAATTACTATATAATTTTAATTACTGCATTTAAAAATTTAATTGAAGACAAAGAACTGTAATTAAGTTTAATTGGAATGGCAGAGAAAAATATGTAAAATTTTAAATTTAAGTTATTGGATTAATTATTCTTGCCACTCATTTAGCAAGTAATCTGTTCAAAGCTTCGGTTTAAGAGTGCAGAAGTAATGAAATTAGATTTAACTACCCGAAATATTGTATAAATAGTTAAAAGCTTCAAAATTATTAGAATTTTGAAATTCTAAGATTAAAGTATATAAAAATAGTTTGATTTTTACCGCGACAAAGTGTTAAAGGTAATTGATTTTATAATTAGTTTCATATTTTATATCTGCCCCAGGTTTTTGAAAAACGTGTGCACGCTGAGAATTCCTTGATTGCAGAGTGGATTAATAATATCTCAATCTCTAAATTAACTGCAAAATTTTGGTCTGTTATGTATAGTTTGACAAACTCGCTGAGCTACTTTACTACGCTAAGTCATTCAGTGCAGCAGCTACTCAGCATTCAGATGGAAAAAGCTACAAGTAAGTATCAAAAGTTTCATTGAATGCATTTCAAGTCATCTTTTTTACAAAATACTTTTTAATTTTATACGAGTGATGATCTCATGCTCAGTAGTTTCTTAATATATGTTACCAGTCTTTCAGTATAAGAATTTAATATTTCATTTATACCACAATGTACTTACTGCATTTTTAACAGTACATGGAATTCTGAGAGCTACAGTAAGTAAAATATGTGTCGGATATAGGGCAAGGTCCACAAATTTGGCACATATAACTATAGCAGCACATGTGATGCAGTTAGCTTGCTCTGATTTTGGTGGTAAATTTCGCTTTGAATTTACTAGCAAATAAAAATCATGGTTACGTTTACCCTAGTTATAAAACATTTATCTGAATTCAGGTAATGGGGAAACGAGCTATAACATGTTAGCACTGGTTTCAGTGTTTGTAAGGAAGGAAAATTTAGTTTCACAAATATCTACCAAAGAAATTTTAATGTAATTTTCCAGTCTGTTAATCGAATTTAAAACACAACAATGGGCCTCCTTTAAGGCGATACGAGTTATTTCAGATGATTTTGCTTCTCTTTGGAAGTGGGTGTCTTCCAAAGTTGATGCCCAATATCGATGTTTCCTCTCAGAAATATTACAAGTTATTGTGATTTAATTCCTTTAACTTGTTATGGGTCACTATAAACATTATACAGAGATTTTATGCGTTGTATAACTATAAACAGATCATGAAATTAAAAACAATGACAAACAAGAAAACTGATTTTTAACTAAAAACTAAGCATTTTAAATTATTCAAAAGGAGAAGCTCAAATATTTTACTACTAAAATTATTGTTCTATTAGAATGATATGTAGTACTTCGGTTACAAACTGTTTGAAGAAATTTGGATTTAATCTGTGTATTGAAGAATTTTCTATAATTCTATTAAATTAGATTTTCTATTATACTAATTTCCATAAGGCTATAGGATTTTCTACATTATAATAGTTTAAAGAATTTTACAGACTTAAAATTGATTTTAAATATACTTTTAATAAAAAATTTTTTCATAGATCAAGCATCAAGATTTGCTTACTTCATACTTATTCAAGAAATCACTCTTGGACCAGTCAACAAAATAATGCATGGGTACTCCGAGTAAGTTTCAAATTTTTCTTTTAAGGTTTAGCACAAAGATAGGTACCTTTTTGTATTTCCGATGCACAAAAACCTTTTCAAACTAGTTTTTAGGTGATATGGAATACGCATTAAAAACATACTGACAAAATTAAAGAGCAGAAACATAATTTAGCTATTTAAGAACAAAAGTTTAAATTACTATGAAAATAAGTTTCCGATGCACAAAAACCTTTTCAAACTCGTTTTTAGATGATATGGAATACGCATTAAAAACATACTGACAAAATTAAAGAGCAGAAACATAATTTAGCTATTTAAGAACAAAAGTTTAAATTACTATAAAAACTCTCATGAAATCGGACACTCAGGAACGTCGAAAATTCAATCTTTTCCAAATGAGAAGCCAAGCAGTCATGTCCACCTGCTAGTCTGAATGCAGCTACTGACCTGTCTCGAGAACAGTCCTGTAAATCATCCAAGTTCTTGCTCCAGACTTTGTTTTCAATAAGGTTTTGGTGATTACGAATAAAGAAACATTTAACTTTGCTGTCTGGGTTTTATAAGTTATTTTAAGGTTCTTTCAATTCTTTTATTTTCTTATAAATCCGTAACTATGTCTATGGAAATCTGAAACATCTTCAGGCAAAATAGCCCAGGCCCAGCATTTCGGTGGTTATCGGCGACTGAGTAGGTGAGACTCTTAAAACACCGGTAGTTCCTTATGGGTTTAGATCCCGACGAACAAGTTAGCTGCTTAAGCGTTTTCTTAGTTTTTTGAATCTGAAATCCGAGTACAAATCAGTTTCCAATTCAATCGCCTCCGAAGTCTTCACTGGCGTATAGTTTTAATGTTTTTTGCCGCAACCAAGTAATTTAGAGAATTCTAAAATTTGATGCCATATTTCGTACTTTCTTATTAAACAAAGATTTCATTTTTATGAATGTAAAACCAAAACTGTATTTTCTAATGATCTGAGAGGATGTAGAGCTTGCGTTTCCTAATGTAAATTAAAGTGAAAACGTAGTGCATTTAAAAATGATGGATATTCAATATATACTTTCCATCACATGCTGTAAGCACCATATTTTAGGAACCCCTTGTTATTCAACAAACGCTTATTTATAGTCCTGGAATGCAATTTGCGCCATACTGCGTTCAACATTCTCTTTGTGACTATGCAGTAGTTTCTTCTGTTCTGAAGTAAACACAAAACGTTTTGCATTCTTGGCAAAAATCGCATGGACTAAAATCAAGAGACCTATCTGTCTATTTTAACAATTTTCCTAAGTAACTATTTTAATAAGTAGACTTTCCCTAGTTTCTACCAACGTGTCCTGTTCACTAATGTTGCAGTTTATATACGAATGTAACAGTTTATATACGACTGTGATGTTTAAAACATGTGCTTTTCTTTTAAGTGGCACATTATGACTGATACGCCCTACCCTTGACATAATAAATTGTTGGAGGTAACTGCACTGGACCACTTCGTATTCAAAGTGTTTTTATTTGATAGTAGAATTTGAATCTGAAGCGCCACAAGAAAGAAAGGGGACAAAGGAGTTGTCTAATTGTACCGGAATTTCGTATGCAAACAGCTTGAGGCACAACATAAAAATAATTAAATTTTGGTTACCAGTGAATGAATAGCTGGAGTTAGAGCATCGCAAATTATAAATACGGGTGATGTATAAAAAAGATATCCCGAATCTAGGACACAACTTCAAATTTAAATCCATTCGTCTCACTTCGACTATACCAATGCTTCGCGAGTGCGTTCGCGCACGCTACAAGCATATGTTCACCCTTGAGAGGACATGCAAAGAAATCGGCATAAAAGCAGAGTGGTCAAATCGAAGGATCGCTTGGCATTTGATTTGAAGCGATGCCACCCTTCGATGTTGGCAAGAATGGTTGAACATGGCAGAACACGGCATGAAGAGGCAACTCCAATTTATTTTTATAGTGTTGCAAGAGGACCTAACGCGACGAAAGAGCAGTCGCTAGAACGACTCTCTCAGCACCTGATTCGTCATTGTGGACACCAGTGGCGTAAGAACCATTCACAGAGAACTCGAGAACGCAGATCTGCTTTCACGATGCCCATTGGGACGAATACCACTTACGTGATCGAACTGACAAGCACACCTGAGTGATAGTGTACATTCACTGACTAAAGTAGAGTTATCTTCGATGAGTTCTGCTTCGAATTGAATTATTATGATCAACAAAAACATGGGACTGCACAGCGAGTCTGTAGACGGCCTGGACAACAATGGTATAATGACGTGATTGTTACTCATTACATAAACTGACAAGCAGGAGTTATAATCTGGGATGCCATTTCATTTAATAGATGAACCTTTTTGGTTATATGCGACATCATTATAGCATGGTGGTATGTCAAAGATACTCTGTATGCTTTATAGAGCGGTAGTAAGTCAACAATATTCTATATTGCCTCGAAAGGAAGGGCAATACAACGCATCCTGGCCTTAAATTCCAACAAGATAATGTCGGCCTTGTGTAGCAGTCGTTTCTAATGTATCTTCGGGCGTGTCAAAAAATTCAGTGGCGATTTAAATCAGCAGAACACTTCCCACTAGATCATTTTTGAGTCTGATGAACAGGTGTCTCCGACCGTGCTAGGATGTCATACTTATAACTCGACATGTGGAGAGTTTGTGATCACACAAAAGGGTCCTACGCCAATTCTTCGAGTCAATACTAGACCAGGTAACAACTTGCACAAGGGCCAGAGATGAGCCAACGTCCTATTGATTTACTATATGTAGCCATATCTCTTGAATAAAAGAATGAAATTCCGAAATGCAGACTTTCTTTCCCTTACCTATACATATCTACTGAATTTCGCTCCATTCGAATAATATCTTGGCAATTTTTACCCCCATCTTGCTTATTTCATCTGCATTTATGCGTTATGCTTTGTATGAACGGAGCAGCAAGAACGCATGTAGTAACAATAATAGCATACCAGCTGTGCATAAAATTAAAAGTTTTAATAACTTCCGCAAGCGCAATATGATAGCGGACTCGAACTTATTATGTAGGTTTCGATTCTTAATTTAGAGAGAAAAAATTTGAAATACGCTCCTCGGTTAATTTAATCAAACGTACAAATGCTTTCGGCAATATGCACATATATATATGTATAGAGATATATTGCCAAATAACTATGTGTACGTCATCCTCGCCTTTGAAGAAATCTTGGACAATTGCATTTTATACTTTATTTCCTTCTGCCTTTCTTTAAATTAGCAAATAACATTTCTTTCAGACAAGTTAGCAGTGATTTTTCTCATACGGTGGTACTGTGGACAACTCGAAAGCATTGCAAATATACAGGAAGATGCTGTAAAGCAGACTTTTCGTTCTGGGGAAAGGTGAAGAAATCTGGTGAAGTAATGATTGATGGCGATGCTCAACCCGGAAAATATTACCCTATACAAAATTTTGCTCCATTTACTTTGGACAAAGGTTTCTTCATATGGACAAATGCCACAGATTTACAACCTAAATGGTGAGTATCAATTTATCTTTCTGAACAAATTTTACAAGTAAATTGCTCTTGCTGTAAACAGAGTAGGTATGCTTTGAAAGAAGTTTAAAAATTCGATGTTTAATACTACTAAATAAAACTAACTAATCGTGTACCCTCTATGAATGTATGTTTCATGTATATAACCGTGTTACTGATAAACTTTAGTAACATAATGTAACAGGATTAAAATACAAAGCATAGGTAAAAATAGGAAAAATCGCATAAGTGATTTAATATATCTTATAAAGTAAACATTTTAATGGAGAATCTAAGATGGGTGTGTTTATTGTTTTGTCTGAAGTCAGTTTATCAGTAGATGGTGTCATCTTACTAAGATGATACTCTCTAAGAAAGTTTTAATATTGACTCATGTAATTCTTTTAAGATGGAAAAACCATTCGCACGAATAAATAGTAATGCTGTCTATATTTGTTTACTAGAGCTAGCAACTTGAGTTCTAGCTGCCTACTTTACTTCTAAAACTTGAACTATTATCTTCTTTGCAATAGTTCGAGAACAAGGTTAAAAAAATGTATTTAGCTGCAAGAATGTTTGAATTTCTTAGCTGCCTAGTTTTTTTAGTCATTTTCATTCTAAAGAATAAAGGTTTTTTCCTGATTTCATGTCTAAATTAAACATTTTGCTCACATTTTTATAGGTGCGAAGATAAACAGGATGAGAAAATGATTATGGCTTCCTTTACTGAATCCAGTTCCTTTAACACCTTAACGCTTATACGAAATGCGCCACTGCTTAGCGAAATTAAGTCATTCAGATCTGGACATCTGTATGCTGTAGCTGGCTTTTACTATGACAAAATTGATAGTAGGTTACTTTATTTTCTCTAAATTTAATAAATATGGAACTGTACTTTTCTAGTTCGGCAGGACAGCCAGTTTGCTTATGAAAGATGCTTGACGGCCTGTCAAAGCCCATCGACAATTGGAATATTCTAATCGCCTTAGGTAATGTTACACGAAGTCAGTCTTTGCCAGAGAAAACTAACGAAGTATTGGATTGAAAGGTAATTTATAAAGGAAGTAACATTTTGAAGGGGGAATGGGAGCAACATGCTTGCTATGAAGCATTATCACTGTGTACAAACCCTTCATCTAAGGAATTTTTAATGTTGCTGAATTTGTAATAGACGCTATAAATATGTATATAAATGCATGTGTATACACACTTTCTTAAAAGTACATAACGTAGTCCTTAAATATGATGCGGACATCGCTAATACGAATTCAAAATGTTAAAAGTTCTGTTATAGATATTTAAATACAATTGATTACAATCACTATTAAAATACATTAACTAGCTAAAATACATATGTTACAGACACTCCTAATACAAATACTGACATTTGGTTTCTTTTATAAACCGTATAAATTTGTACTCAAAGATGTCTTAAAAAATAAGATAGCTTAAAAGTTTTGAGTTCGAAATTATCTACAAGACTTTCGCCCTACTAGTGGCCGACCAGTAGAAGCACTGGATGCTAGTAGTTTGAGCGGGGTTCAAATCCCGGCGAACGCGCTGTTCGCATGGGAGGTTTTGTGACTTTTCCACGTATAACGTGAATACCAGTTTAGTTTCCTAGAAAATCTTCTTAGGTCATTCCGCCCGCTAGGCAAATAAGCCCTGAGTGCTTTATCATAAGATAAACAATACAAATTCTCACGTCTAAAGAAGTTTTTTTATCAAATGAACCTAATCGAAATGAAACTTTGATATAAATCTTGATTATTTGAAATCTTATCATTGCCAAAAATATCAGTTTTGAGATGTATTGTCAAAATCGATCACTTCAAATATGCAAATAAATTACGGATATGAAACGCCTACTTTCATAAATTTGTAATATACCGCGGTTATTTAAATCTGAAAGAGCATCCAAATATATAATCCGGATTATTGAATTTTTCTGATACTAACTTCATTGCCACAATAAATATCTTTGGATATTCTCTCCGACATGTGCAGTGGGATCTCAGCCTTTTCAGTCGTGTCACATCTGATAAAGATGAGCAAGAAAGTGCCTTGGGCAATAGAAGATTAAAGTGTTATTCAGGAAGCAAGATTTAAATAGTGTAAATAATTTAAGTGAAACAGTAGTATTTTTGTACAATGTAACATAAAAAGCTTGAAAGACGTAGTTCTGCAGGAAAAATAAGATTACAGCTGCAAGTCTATTTAACGTTGAGTAAATGGCTATCTCGCTAAAATGGCGAGATATCACCATTTTTAGGTGGTTTTGGCGATAATTCTGTTGTCAAATTTGAAAAGAAATCGCCGAAAGTTGCCAAACTCCGCGATTATCTGGCGGCGTAAGTGTTGTGCTTGTATAACTGTAAATGATATTGTAACAACTCATACTGCCTTCACATACCTTTCAGGAATTTTGAGAGATGAAAGGTACTAAAGATATCTGGGCGGCCGAGGGGGGGAAACTGTATAAGACCGGGAAAAGCATCAGTTTCTCCATTTCAATTCAGAATCGACTTCAGAATATTGAGATGTCTCCGTGTCAGCTTCGCTCTTTAGATTCTCTTTGTATTTCGTTGTGTTTAACATTCTTAGTAGTTTCAAGTGTAACTACTGATCGTGCTCTGTGATGCTGAGAAGAGCTTTACGAGTATTTTTGTGGAAAATTCCAGAACTATGAAGTGTTTCTTTTCGTAAAATAAATTTTACCAAGCTCTTATCGGTTCTGTGTGCATTCAGCCCATTACGAACGCATACGCAAGCACGAATATCTCAAATTTTGATCATATTTCTCAGAAAACATGGAGAACATTGTCTATTGTGTACTATCGGTTATGGACAATTAAGTGGTGGGCCGTTACATCTCCGTTACAATCGATATTGTGCTCCCAGTGTCATCTCAACGGTTTGAGATTGGATATGCATCCAACTAAATACATTCTTAGAGAAAGGGAAGTTTCCGAACAGTTAGAAAAACATATAACAGAGTGGGAGGGTCACTTCAAATTAATATACGATTCGCAAATAGGTAGCTATTCTTTTAATCATTCCGATCTTTCCGAGCCATATTTGAACTGCCTTGTGTAACTCGGAGGAGTTAACCTAAATCAAGAAATTAAGATTTTTACTTCATGCCCCTCTTAAAATCATAGCTGTACATAGTTTTCTTTCACAGCTATTAAATTTCAATTGACTCATTGATTTTCTAATTTTAGGAAGATCATATTTTATTGAGTGACACTAATCTGAAAAAGGAAGGACGGAAGCCAAATTTGCATTTTTTTTTCGGGGGGGGGGAATAAAATTGTATTCCTTGAAATTTCTGCGAATATAAATTTAAACAGAAATCAGTTTGAAGGTTTTTATAGAAATCGCATGACTTATATCACTGAGTATTTATATCAGATTTTATCTATTCCTCCTAACCAGTATTGCTACTATAAAAAATAGCTGATCAGGTCAAATTTTCATAGTGCTTTTTATTTATTGGAATGCACATTTTCATCGTTTATATTCCTTCAACTTTCTTATGGCTTATGAGAATCTTTTTATTCCGATTTTGTTGGAGGATGGGCATCTCAGTAGCCAGAGTTTTGCAATCAAATGTTGTATAAGAATCTCGGTGTACTTCTGGTAAAAATGTAGTTGTATTCGTTTGAAAAAGCGACCGTACTTGACATTTTCATTCACGCCTTTTGGTAAGAAAGCTTAAATTTCCCAAAACTGTCATGAGAAAGAATTATTTCATTTGCTTCAGCTAGCGTATCTGTTTTGTTTATGATGCTAGAAAAGAAACTGCCACATTCGAAGCATTTTCTGAACAAAAACTGCTTTACAATTCGAATTCATATAATCAGTTATATTTCCAAAAATAGCATATCAGCTTCCAGGTTACGGTAAAAGTTACAAAATAAGCGAACTAATTTTTGAGAAAGACCAAGAATAGAATCCGAGAGGGAGGAATTTCCAACTAGTACCTGCAGCATCCCATTGGGAAAAATTGCATTTTTTAATGGCGATAATTTTTCCTGTATTTTGAATAGTATGAGAAAGAATTAAAGGTAAAATTTATATATGCTTCGAGAGCGAGCTGTCTTAATCATTAAAATGAGAAAATCCATCAAATAGGAAGGACTTACGACTTAAATACGTACTCTTTGTTTGATTTTATCGACGATGCATCAGAATTATTTGATGACATTTTGATTTAAAAAAAACTGAATATTCTGGAAAAGGGTAGTTATAGATGCAAAACGAACTGTAGATTTTTAGTTACAACTCCGTATGTTTTAGAATAAGTTTTTCCTTTAATTTCTCTTTAAGTGACGACTTTTTCTCACTAAGATCAAATTGAAACATTAAGTTTAGCACACAATATTGCTTTTAAATAAATTCCAAATTGCAGATGTTCCGCATACATTTTCCATTAATATTCGAGAAATGTAAATGATTCCCTAAAATTTTAGAAGCTTGCAGAATATGCTCTTTAAAAATATCTCTTCCTTTTAATAACCTTTTTAGTTTGCTTTTTAGTATGGATGAAGAATGTTTTACATAATTATTAGTCCTAATTTATATTTGCACTTTTTGAAATTTTGCCTAGTAGTAAATTTTGCGAAGTAGAAATTGAAATGTGCTAATGACAGCGAAGATATGTCCATTGAATACTGAATCATTTCGAGGAAATACCTGGCTGTCTTAATCAGTACTGTAAAAACGTTTGTTACAGTCAGAGCTAAAGCAACTGTAGTCATGCTTTTAGAAGTTGCTCAAATAAAGTGAAAAATCTATGCGCTCTTATAGGAAAGTGTAAAACATGTGTACTATCGGCTTAATAATACAGGGTGGTCCAAAATTATTGAGCATATTTCATGTTTGAAAAAAAAAAGGAGCAAATTGAGGTACGTACATGTTTGTTTTTTCGATGGAAAGTCAATTTAACAGTTTTATATCACAAAAATTGAACATTTGTGATACGCAAAATATCCAGTAGATATTCAAATTCACGTCTAGTGTTTCGCAGTATTTCAGCAGGTATTCCTCGAGTGGGTTCAATGATTCTCAGTTTTAGGTCATCGATATTGTAGTTATCGGAATTGTTGAATTGTAGTTATCTCGATCTCTAACATACCCCATCCCCGAAAAAAGTCAAGGAATGTAATGCCGGAGTATCTTGGCGGCCATAGTATCGGCACCCCCCCCCGCGACCAATTTAACGACCAGGAAATGTTTTGTCCAGCTCCGTGCGAACTTTGGAACTCCAGTATGGAGGGCAGGTGGAGGGCAGTCTTGTTAAGATAACTTGACGCTGACGGTATTCAGATTGAGAAAAATCATAGTACTATAGCATGTCTAGATATTTAACGTTTGTCACTGACTATTCGGTGAAGAAAAAGGTTTAAAAATTTAATCTGTAGCAAATGCTTGCTTTCAGGCTGCTGTGCGTCTTTTCTCTTGCTGCATGTGGAGATTCCGACAATTGTGACTGTTAACATAACCAGTAACATGGAAAGTAAAATTGTTGTATAAAACTGTTTTTCCAAGAAAAAATAAACGTAGATGTATTTTTTTTCCAAGCATGAAATGCGTTCAAGAATTTTGGACCACCCTGCACATTATAAACTACAGAATAAATATTTACCTTTCTGCGTACGTTTATAATGGTGTAGTTCGTTACAATTTTGTTTTATAAGAGAGGATTTTCGAATAACTTGAAATGCAGAATATTTGATTTTCAAATGGCCATTGATATCGATAACTTTTTCTAGATGAATACAGCAGTGCTGTAGTTTACGTCTTTGATGAAAGACTGCGTGAATGGTCGGAGCAACAAATTTTGCCTACTTACGGTGTTCTTTCTTTGGATGTTACAAAATATACATACGATAACACCCAAGTTATTCTGTTGGCTGTCGGAACAGGAATGGATGCCTATTCTTCAATATACAAATGGAACGAAAACGAAAAAGCAGTAAGTATTTTAAGATTTATAATTTCTAAATATTACTTACTGCGATTTTAATGCAAATAACACTTCAGTCTGTTGCATAGCAAAGGATCAATACGTGTTGCTCATGAATTAGACATTTTAAGTTCAAAATCTTTGACTCTATTTTATTTAGGAAATTCATTAAAAATACTCGCAAGATGGATCGTAGATTATTCTGTAGCAGTAATACACGAGGTGCGTAATGCATGACACCGGAAACATTTTATCATATTTCGGCCCACCAGCGGCCGAGCGGTAAAGTCGCTGAACACTGGTAGTTCGGTCGAGGTTCGAATCTCGCAAACGGGCTGGCTGCATGGGTGTTTTCGTGGTTTTTCCCATGTGTAACGTGTATACGAGCCATTTCCCTTAGAAAGTCCTCCACGGTGGCATCCCTCCCCTTAGGCAGATAGCCCTTGAGGCTTTGCTGTAATTGAATAAACTAAGCTAGCCTTATCATGTTTCAATGTTTATCTGTATGACTTTTTTATATATTATGGATTGCATCAATCAGATAGAAAAAATATAAATTAACAGATTTATAGTGCTTTTAAATCGCTTGGTTAGAAAATTCTTTTTCTTTGAAAAATAAATTGTGGTTTTTATACAATATCTAATAGCAAGAGCTTTTAGAATCTGCAAGGCCTCACGAATGATAAAAAAATTTTACGCTTATATACAATATTGAGAGGTCAGGTTTTAGTTTCTACTGTACCACTAAATGGTTGCACCAATCAAGGTTATTTCATAACAGTTATAACACACATGGTGTGTCTAAATTTGCCATGTATTTAGTGATTTATATTTGATTTATTATAGTTTAAAATTAATTACTACAGTATAGTGCTTAGTGGAGCCTACTGCAGTACCGAATCCTGGAGAAGGCATGGATGTTTGTAAATGTATAGTGTTTTTTCGGCATGGGGCACTCTAAATATATGGCGATCCGAATGTCCTCTAGTGGGATCTTGTGGTAAGGTAGAGTGAGAGACCCTCAGACACTCCCATAATGTTCTCTATCAAAACTGGGGTGGAAGTAGAAGTACACAAGTTTCTTTCCAAGAAAATTAACAAAATTATACATAGAATTATTCTGAAAATTAGTGACTTTATTAAGACAATGTTTTATTTACCGCACTTTGTCATTTTTGTATATTATCTATTAGCGAGATCACACAACTTGCGGCCGCCGAAATAATATTCACACTAGTAAAGATACTTTATGAGACGATTCATATGAGTGAGCATGAAAATAAACTTTTGATTAAACAATTTTCTGCTCAGATATAATTTAAACAAGAAGCTGAGTTAAATTCTGTTTCCATTTAGATATGAGGCTCTACGAATTTTATTGTTTGGTAAGGACATACAGATACCACTATAAAGAAGCTTACCTATGTACTAAAAATGATGCGTTTAATGAAGAGAAGCTTACAGCGCTGATTGTTTGGTGGCACCTGCGCACAAATCATAAAACAGGGACACTTTCACACAAACATTTATTGCTGGAAAGTAGTAGTTTGCATATTTAAGTTTGCGTATTTCTGCGGTAGTTGCGCACAAAACCGCAATTTTTAATTACTTTCTGATAACCTGGAAAAGCGACTTAGATTATTAATTTGCTTTACAGGATTTCAAGCTACTATACTGCACAAATATAGATTTAAAAAATGTTTACATTATGTATGCAACAACATGTAAATAATAAGGGAGAAGGTACCCGTTTTTCTTAATACCTTAAAGCAGTGGTTCCCAAAATTTTTCAATAAACGTCGCACTTGCAGTTTTATTTTTTCACGGCGCTCCGGTTGCAATATTTTTACTACAATGGCAGCATTTTAGTAAAATGGTACGGAATGAATGCAACATTTTAGTGAAACGTTTGATTTTATTTGATAAGAAAACCTACAAATTGAATATGAGTAAAAGAAACTTTGAGTAGCAAATTAGAAAATCAATGTGACAGGTGAGCTTGTTGATCTTTATAGTTTTTCAAATTTAGGAAGAAGGCTTGATACAGTTATTCTCATTTCTTGCTCCACACTAATTTTCGAACGATATTTGGTCCTTATTGCAGGAGTAGCTTAAAATATAGCTTCACATAGATAGGATGTCGCAAATGGAATGAGAATATTTACAGCTTTAGAACTTAAAGTTCAATACTCAGTTTGGATTGAAATCCAAAACTCAATTAAATCTGAGCAAGCAAATTTCGTTTATAGAATGTTATCTCAAAAGAGTTCAGTTAAACTCTCTTTGTCTTGCGAATCAAAGTGCTGGAGTACTTAAGAATGAAAAGAATCTTGGATCAACATAAATTTCTCTACATTATCTTTTGCAAAATATTTTCTGAGCCAGTCGGTGAGCTGTGAGATATATTCAATCAAAAGGAACTTCGGTAGAATAATGCCTTTATTAGAAGCCGTGCTTTGGTATATTGTAGAAAAACAATCTTGAGCACCACCGTCATTCGGTTTTCTTATCCACAAAGGCAGCTTTTTCCTAAACGCTGAAATCTTTTCTGCAAGCTTCAAGATGTGCAGATACTGCCCTGGAGAGACAAATTCAAGACATTTAGTTTCTTAAATATGTCGTACTAATATGCTAGTTTCATCAAAATGTCTGGTTTGGCAAAATGCTTAGTGATCGCATAACCTTCCTGTTGTAGAAAAGTGTGAATTTCTTGATGCAGTTCAAATGCACGAGACGGGACGTTGCTATGGAAAAGCCATCGTGAGCTGCATTAATATAGAAAGGCCATGTGTTCAACTTCAACGTCCTGGCGGAGCTTTTTAAAAATCTTGCTTTCAGTAGTCTAGTTTTTGAGTATTTTACTATGTCAATAACACATTCTAATACCAAATTTAACTAAGGACTAAGTGATGTCGATGCAAGTGCGTCCCTGTAGTCCGCACAGCTTGCCGTGTTTTATTGCAACTAAGTGTATGCGGTCTTCATAGCGACTGGGCATTGATCGAGTACTATCAGTACATACTGATGAATTATTTCCAAATTAAAAATTCCAATCTAAATTTCCAAAATTTTCCATTATATTATATATTCGTCAAGCATTTTCGAATAAGTCGAGCCTTTGCGCTACCGATGATGCTCTTACAGAACTGAAGGTTTTCGACAATAATATTACCATCCAGGAAGCCTACGTAATTTATAAGATTTACATCTTTGTTACTGTCAGTAGCCTCATCTAACAGCAGACTGAATACATTTCATTTTCTCTATCAGCTTAACATTATGATCCTGAGCTATACATTGAATTCTTCGACTAATGTTCTTGAATAGAAGTGTCTTAGAAATGAGTTTTCCCGCAACTTTTTCTACATAATCATGATGAGAGCAGTCGATAGAATGATCTCTTCTGAAATAGAGTGTGCAGTTTTTGCACTTAGCTCTTCGCAGACTCTTACTGTGTGTTATTAGGAACCTTCACTTTAGTGAATGCTTCTCTAAATCTTGAAACTTCTTACTAAGAAAAATGCGAGATTTCATAATCAAGTTGAGATGAATGGTCTCAAGACGTCGCTTTAGCTTATTTGGGAGCATAGTCTCGAGTGTAAAGATTTTTCAAGCTGACAACACATCTGTCATCGTAGTCTTTCATTGCTTTTTACTTCTACTGAAGTAAAACAAAAATCAAACTATCTCTCTCCTTATGGATATTTTTGCTTCTTTTTTTTTCCTCCAGCTATCGATACCTTATCACTCAAACTTGAACTATCATTACTATCGGTTTGCTCGTTTAATAAAAATTTTCATTTTGCGAAATATCAGTAACGACTCGTCGCTTTATTGCAATATTTCATCGAGATCATATTTTTTCCATAGATGTATGAGATTCTACGTCTTAACCGCAGGTACATGAGTTCGATACTGATGGCCGCGAGCGAAAAAAAAAATTTTAAGATGCCAGTGCTGAGAAGACAAATACAGTAATCCTGTGACAGGAAGTAACAGATGCAAAAAATGTACCAGAATAATTGAATACAAATCTGACGCAATAACATAGAATTATTTGCATATTCAAAGAACTAAGCATAATAAAATTGCGCTTTAAGAAATGAAATTGAGAAGAGATTAAAAGTAGAAATAAAAAAGGTTAAATATATAATTTAAATGGAATTAGATGAACAAATTAAATATAAGTATTTAGAAAAACTTAAAGAACTATTGTTTCAAGAAATGGAATAAAAATTAAACATATTGATGAACGTATAAGTAATGAAAAATATGGTCAAGCATTCAACGCAAGTCTTATCTCTATGTGATGCAAGGCCAGAGGCGCCTCCTCGCGCCTTTGGCCTTACTTTACAGCGACCCAGATCGCTGCGGAGCACACTTTGGGAACCCGTCTTAAGGAATCGGGTACCTCTGAAATGTCAAAATCCCCAAAGTACATCACATTTTAAAGCTCAGTATCTTTAAGTGAATTATGAGCAAGACATTTTGTATACTTATTTCGATGCTCTTAATAATGTATTTGTACTGTTATTTTTTTCTCCAAATATTGAAATATTTTAAATTATCATCGCTTCAGAGTAAAGAAAAAATCTGATGTGTACACCACATGACTTCCTTGTACGGAATATTAAATTTCTTGTATTTCATTTAAACTTGTTAGATTTAATTAAACCTACTTCGCTGACAGCGCATAAACTACAATAGAATAAATGCATTCTTTAAAATTCACTTTGTTTACCATAGCGACACTATGGCGCTAGGTTTACTTAAGAGTATTATGTTGTTTGACTTCTGAATTAGTATTGTTTCGTTCATATTATAACTCAGAATGCACAACATTTATATCATTTAAAGAATTATCTAATCGTTGCCACATGTTCTATTCAAATACTATAATAAAGCTAGAACTATGTATAAAAGAAATTAAGAAAAAATTCACAGACGATTGAGTATCTCATTCAATTGATTCAGTTTTCACTTCGCGACAAGGCAAAAATACATAAAAACTCAAATATCTGTATTAAAAATTACGAAGTAAATCTTAAACGTTTATTTGTTCGAAAAAACTCCAGAAAGGATTAAGCATGATTTAAATAATAATGAAGGCGTTATCTTTGTTGTTGCGAAGCTAAGTTTTCTCTAGATTGGCAACAAATCCGCTACTCAGCTGTTTCAAATGTAAACAAGAGCAATGGCCGCCATCAAATTAGGCTTAGCGGCACTTAAACAATTTTAAAATTGTTGATAATTCTAAAAATATTACATACAGATTTACTAAAGGCATAAAACCCTTAACCGGAAGATAAAAACATAATTCAATCATTTTTAAAGCAAAAAATGTACAAGTTACAAACATATAAGAGTAAAGAAACTGAGATCACTGAGCCGGGTAACAGAGTGGATATATTTATAAATATATTTATATACGTTTGACGCGGCCGATTGAAACCAAAATACGAGGTGCACATCTACATGTTATAGTAGTCTTACTTACAAAATTTCGACATTCTGAGGCTACTCGTTTTTGAGTTATGCGAGATACGTACGTACGCACGCACGCACGTACGTACATACGTTCGTACAGACGCCACAAAAAAATTCTCTTCAGAATTAATTTTAAAGCAGTTTTTTAGGAAGAAAAGAGTCTTTTATTCTGTCTTTGCTTACAGATATTACGCAAAAACATCGTTAAATTGCATTCGAAAGCGGTCAAAGTGGATATTTTCGTTGAAATATGCTGCCTGAAGCTTTTCGCGATTACAATACTTCCTTTTTACTTCGTACAAGGAAGTAAAAAAAAAAAAAAAGAAATGCTTCGAAATTAATACGCACACAAACTGAATTAAACATTTCATAGCAAAAATCGGTTTCTGAATAGGTAGGCGAGCATTGAAACATAACCTTAAGCTGGAGATTTGGAGAAAGGCGGCGAGACAAATGTATCGTGTGCAATAAGCAGGTTCTTCAGATGCATAATCCGCCCATTGACGAGATACTTAATTTGTTTTTTCATTTGCTGTCATTCGAAAGGAGTGTCTTGTTTGAGTATTGCGCTATGTATATACATATATTAACAAATAATTAAATGTAAGTACTATTAAGAATCCTGCTCCTAGGCTCTTTAATTTAATTAAACAAAATTATAATTAAAGAGGAATACTCCTATTAAAATTCTTATATTTCAAATTAAATTAAGAAAGTGAAAGAATTTAAACTCTAAGTCTAAATAAATTTCAATTTACAAATTCGTAAATTTTAAGTAATATTAAAAAAATTAATTTTGGAATGTTTAAAAAAATTTTTACAAGTATTAAATAATAAATGTTAAATCGGCATGGAAAAATTGCTTTAACAGCAATGGTCAATAGTAGTGGCCATGCATAAAATTGTGACAAAAATTTTTAATGATAATTAAAGCCATACAAAGAAAATTGCTTAAAAATGAACAACTGAAAAGAAACCGACATAATATCGTCCAACACAAGCACCGTCTAAAACTCTTAGAAGATGCTGAGAAGCAGTTAAAAGGCGATTCGGTGTCGGAAGCTACTATCATTTGTGTTAAGACAGAGAATCTCTACTTGGACCTCCTCCGAAACATAATAGGTGTATCTACTGAGGATGAGGTGATATTTAAGGAAAGCCGTGGATGATTCGAAAAATTGAAAGAGAACCGATGTTTACAGTGTTATGCAATATGCGGAGGGTGCGAGTTCTGATACAGCAGCTTCTGCTGATAAATTTCGACCAGAGTTCCTACAATTTATTACTAGTGAGGGGTTTCTTCCCCAGCAAGTGTTTAATTGGTAGAAAATGCCTAAGAGAATCTACATCCCGCCAAGAGAAATTTTTGTTTGGTCACAAGCCAATGAAAGATAGGCTTAGCCTCTTGTTTTGCGCCAACGCAAGTGCAAATTTTTAAATCAAGCCGTTGCTCGTCTACCACTCGGAAAATCCACGCGTTTTCAAGAAGGGGAAAGTGCAGAAAAACAAACTGAATGTGATGTAGCGGGCCAACAGTAAAACCTGCGTAACCCGGCAATTTTTCATCGAGTAGTTCAATGAAACTTTTGGTCCCTCCGTGAAGAATACGTTCACGAAAATAAGTTGCTACTCAAGGCTCCTGCACATCCTCCAGGGCTTGAAGATAATTTGGAGGATTTTCAATTCATAAAAGTAAAGTTTCTCCCCAACACCACACCACTCCACTTCTCTAGTCTACGGACCAGTAAGTTATTTCGAACTTTTAGAAGCTGTACACTAAGGTCTTGTTTCAAAGGTGTTTTGAAGTGACCGAAAATACAAGCCTGACCCTCAAAGAATTTTGGAAAGATTACTTCAACATCCTAAATTTTCTAAGCCTCATTGATAAGGCTTGTGAAGAAGCCTCAGTGAGGACTCTGAATTCAGCATGAAAAAAACTGGCCTCGGAGTATTTCTGACTTAGGTTTTGATCCTCAACTTGTGTACAACGCAGTGACGCTAGTTGAATGAATTGTATCTTTGGGAAAACGTATGGGTCTACATGTGGATGGTGTTGATCTGGATGAGTTCGTGGAGGAGCCCAGTGAAGAACTTAAAGAACTTCACAAGGAGCAGCTTCAAAAGGTGATAGAAGAGCTTTCGTTAAAGGAGGAGGGAATAAGAGATGAGGCTTCTATTCCAGTAACATTAAAGAAGTGTTGGCAAAGTGGGAAGAAGTGAAAACCTTCTATGAAGAAAATCATCATAATAAAGCATTGTGTGGGCGAACCATGAACTTGTGTAATGGTAATGTAGTGTCGCATTTTTGAGGCATCTTTAAAGGAAGACGAAAGCAAGTGTTATTAGAGAAGGTTTTAGTAAAGCATCCTGCAGCTAAAAGAAAGTTGAGGGATTCTGACCCAGAATCCAGAACCTGCTTCCAGTGGGGTAAAATTCCGGCCAGTCAGGACTCTTCATAAAGGTAAACTACGCTTAATATTTTCTGGTGGTGCGTAACGGATTAACTGAATTTCCATTAATTTCAATGGGGAAGTTTGTTTCTAGATACGAGAAATTCGCTATACGAGCTCAATTCTGGAACAAACTTAAACTCGTATCTCAAGTTTCCACTGTATGTGATAAATATACTAAATAGATAAATTCTGGAAACTGAACAGTTTGAAGTTATAAAATTTTGTATAACTTCCAAAGACCTAATTGAAGCTCTTAAATTTGTTTCAATGTTTTTTGTAAATAACCCACTTGTTTCTGAAATTTCAATCCTCTTTCATGACCTTAATTTACATAACATTTATTAGTTTATACAGTAGTACCTCACTGAATAACGAAAAAGGTAATTACAGACAGCGAGAAAGTTAATAAAAATAAACATCGGAATATTTTCCTGTTTTGAGTTTTCTCATATTTTCAATCTTGTGTCTATTTTGTTGGACTGTTCAGATATTTTACTAGTACTTTGGAAGATTACTTGAGATATCCTAGCGACCTATTCGACTGAAAGAAGAATAAATTCCAGTTTTTACTGTTGATTTGACTTTGCCAAGTAGGATGCTTTGCCAAGTAGCATCCTACATGCAAAGATACTTTGCCAAGTAGGATGCTTTTATATTAAATTCAGGAAACCATAACTTCAAAAATCGCGTTATAATTTAGTATGTTTACTTATTTACTGCATAAGTGTTTTCTGAAGCTCTTGGTTAAAGTCACTGTTCTCCATATTCCTAGAAATGCGGAACCTCGTAAGTTCGGAGTTGGATAGGTGTCTTAGACAAAACGTGCGCTATAAATGTTCTAAATTACCTATTCAGCATGAAAAATAATTCGGTTTTTGCATTTTGTTTTCAGTTTTGAAATTAGTGTTGCTAAAAAAGGGTCCGGGTCTTTTATCTCTTAAACAATTTTCTATTTATAATATTATGCACTTTGCATCTTTAAAATCGTTCCTTAGTGTGTTTTGAAATTTTATGACCAATGTAAATTTTTTTGTTTCATCATTTGCTTCATATTTTTCATTTTTAATTCCTACCTAATTGATATATTTTTTCAGTTTGAAGTGCTTCAAAACATTCACTCTGGGTATGTGACTAGTACTGTTTGGTTCCAAAAAGAATCTATACAGATGCTCGGAATGGCGGAAGTAGATGCCTGGCCTAGAAAAGAAACGAATTGTTTAGAAATGGCCACGGGTGGCCAGATTAACATATATGTCTATGAAAATAGTTTAACATGGATACAAAGCATTCCCCATCGAGGTGTTATATCAATGGTTTCATTTTCTTTAGACGGTAAGTAAATGAATTGTACAACTAAAAATATTTCGTTTTGTAAGTCAATACGTTTTCAATCTTTTTACGCATACGTTAAACTAGTTTTCGGTAGCTGGCTAATATCCAAATCGTAATTAAAGAGAAATCTTCTGGACTTCCAGCAACTTTCAAGCAAAGTTTAGTACTATTAGTATAGTCACAACTATAAAGCGCCATATGATATACATATATATACACCGTATATGATATATGTTAACGATTCCTAACGAATGTTGAGTTTCTATTCTATTTTCTTTCGTATACATCCATACATAGCATTAATATTAAAGCATGCCCTGTCATGGTCTTTAAACACCAGCTTATGTAAACTGTAGCAACTAAGCGTAAAACAAATGCAATCACACCCGTTTTTGTGCGGTAGATGGAGACCGCATAAAAATATTCAAAAATTTCATTACTTACAACATATTAGAGAATTTTTTATGCTGTGGAGAGGGACTGCATAGAAGTCGCACTTACAAAATGTCAGATTTACGAAATGGTGAGAAAGTGTTTTCAAACAAAATGAATAATTAACACGGAAGTATTTAAAAAAAGTTTAATTTCTCCTTTTACTCAAAAAGAAATTTTCAAGATGCACATAATTCACTACTACTTCTTGTAGTTCAAAACACGCATACTTGACATGAACTGGTTCAAAATCTTTTTTCGTCACTTGGAAGATATTACAATCGATTTACTTTTTACTACCATAAAGTCGGTGATAAGTTTTTGCAACGACTGTCGTTTCGTCAGCTGCTTGTAAATGTCACGATAGCCGCTTTCATTTGAACAATTAATAATTCATTTACTTTACTCGTACTTTTTTTTGTTGTGCAACATAGCGCCTTATAGTGCACAGAAAACATTACAACCCTGTTATAATGCCAACACCGTTAGAACTTATATACCGCATAATATCGTATAAAATATATCGCATAATAATATCGTGCAAAATAAATCTCGTAAAAAGAAATTGGACAAAAAAATCGCACAGAAAAGGACTGCACAAAAATATGACAGTATTGTCTCAGGAATAATTCAGGAATAATTTAATGTGCAGTATTTGAATCATGAATATGAAATCATCAACGTTAAGTATTATTTGAATAAATTTCATTATTTCTAGTCAAAGAAATCTAATTTTTGGCCTTCTTTTCATGTTTGAAAACTCTCATTTTAGAATAAAAATTTAGCCGACTTCGAGAATTAAGTTGGGTTCATGCGGGAGAATAAAGCTAAGCAGTTTGATTGAACGGCAATGCGACAACACACAAGCAAATTAAGTATTAGAAAATTGAAGTTAAAATGTGTCTGTAATATAATGCTTTCGACAGCCCCATTCCCTTCCCTTCTCCCCCCCAAAAAATGGGCAAGTGATATATTAAAACAAAATGCATATATAATTTTAATAAATCAAAACCGATGGACTAAAATTACTATCCTTAGCATAATTCAAGCATAATTCTTGCATAAATCGCAGTGAAAATTTTATTGGCCAGCAATATATTCTTATCAGTATTTAACTCTATTATTGTATATAATTACCTACCGTCAAGCATCTATTGCAATTTTACCGAATAAGATTGTCTACAGAAACAGGATTGTAAGCTCTGCAGGAATATTAATAGATTTTTCAATATATCTCTTTAAAATTAAAATAACTTAAAAAATAAATCGGTTAAAATAATTTTTGAATTAATTTTGGTGGCATGTCTTTCAGAAAAAATATGCAATAATGAAACTTTCACGCGGGTTCTTTTCAAAGATAACCCTATTTGATAACTTACTCCTTACCTACAAAAGAATTTTAGAAAATTCCATACTCTTGACAGTTTTTAGGTCGAAATTATGACTTAAATCCACTTTTTTGTTATAAACGGGAATAAACACCATTTCAGGAATTTTATAAATATTAAATTCCGCTAAGAATTCCCCAGTTTAAATTTTTTAAATTAAAAATTTGCAAATGGATAAAGAAGCCTGAAAATTTAAATTTTCAAATTAAACTTGTGGCAATTCTACCAGCACTACTACATGAGCCTCAATTCCTGATAGAAAATTTGAACACCTTAAGTAATATTAGCATATTTTGTTTTGTTAATTAGGTTCTGAAACTACATTTTATTCTTTTCCAACAATTTGGTTCTAATGCTTTCTTTCTAAGGATTATGATACTATTGCTGATATTTTCAGTGCCTGACATTCAAAAGCAAGCCTATTAAAATTCATATACGTTATAAAATTTAGTCTTTCAGAATACGTAAATATTAAATACGATGTGACCTAAGAATACGCACATTTTAAAGGGTAATGCAAAATGGGATTATTACTGTTTGTATCTAAAGCTTTATCGCACAAATGGATTGTAGGGGGCGAGAACATAAAACAGATTTCCAACTTTCCGTAATAAATAGCACTGTACTCTTAATATTATTGCAATTAATGGATAAATTAAAACCTTTAATGCAAGTTGTTCAACTAATAGTCCACATGAACTTAACAGTACATTATGAACAGCATTCCTATATTCCTGCTAATGTATATATGCCACATAATTTAAATTTTTCTTATTCTGTGTATAATGTACTAACAGTTCCATATATCACTTGAATTTGGGAGTGGCTGCTTTTGTTTTTAAATGTCTAGATTTGTAGGCCATCCTGTATTTAATTATTTTGTTTTTAAATGTCTAGATTTATAGGGCATCCTGTATTTATTTATCAAAGTATTTTCCTAGAAGCAAATTTCATAAAATCCAGGTTATAACTTATGCAAAGTACTTTTTATAAACACTTTTCTGAGAACTTTGCTGCCATTCAATTTTTAATTTATGGATATATATTTCGGCAATCTTATTTCAGTTTTTTTTTTAACAGATGAAACTTATTTAGTAGCAGCAAGTAATGAGCAGCAAGCAGTTTCCGTCTTTCAATGGAAAGGATATTCCCGGTTTACTTTAGTACAGTCTATTTTTGCTGCAGAAGTTAGACATTTGAATATATACAATATACACAATGAACTTTTCATGACAATAGCTTCAGCTTTTGGACCATCTAAAGTGCTTAAAATACAGATCCAAGGAAAATACGAAAAAGGAAAATCTTATAAAATTTCATCTGAAATAAATGAAGAACCTAAGGATGAAGCAATCGCCGGTTGCTAACATTTACATATAAGAAGCTCACTTTTTTAAATATTGTCATTAGTTTAAATTGAACTTTTACTTGTTACATTAACTGCGTTTAATATTTTGTTATATTTTATTGTCTATTGCTTACTGTTTAGCATTTATAACTTTTAAAAGGTTTTCAAATATTAATGAAACAATAAATTTTAAATTTACTTGAAATTACGAAGTCTGAAATTATATTTTGTTCAGAAATTATTAGATTATAATAAACAAATTTTACTATGTTTTTGTGATTTATTTAAGAAAAATTGAACAAACCATGTATTGTGCATTCAGGGGTTCAAAATGCATAAAATATACACTTCATTCAAAAACATGCATAATAAATTAATTTATATTTTAATCAATATTATATTTCTATATGAAACTTGGAGTACAAGTTATTTGTATAAAATGCATATGCAAAGCAAATGTTCACAGGACAGATATACCACTAAGCAGATACACTGACTACTAAGTATTTGGACACCTATGCAAATGACGATATCTGCGGTCCTAAGGTACGTCGTGGACTCCGCTGGTATATATCGTGTAGGAAACAGCATAGGCTTTAGTCGCATGCAAGATGCCTCACGGTTCGGACCTCTCTGATTTCGAGAAAGATATAATAATCGGGTATCACAAATGTGGCCGATCCTTAAGGGACATATCTAGCGATCTGAAGTACCCAAAGTCGACAGTAACCTATGTGATTAAGAAGTGGAAGGTGAGCGGTGATTGTCGGAATGTGCCCCGAGTCGGCAGACCCACGAAAGTGGGAGATAGAGACCGACGAGTGCTGCCCAGAGAAATTCGGAAAAACCGCACCCAACCGATAGCCCCCATCCGCGAGGAGTTTCAACAGGCATCCGGGAGTATTATTTCAATGAATACCATCCGTAAGAAAGCACATCTGCTTGGTTTTCATGATCGTGCTGCTGCCCATAAGCCTTTGATCACAAAGTCTAATCGCGCTGCTCGGTTAATGTGGTGCAAAGCACATCGAAATTGGACCGTAGATCAGTGGAAATAGGTTCTTTGGAGTGACGAATCAAGGTTCACCCCTTTACCGTTCGGATGGTAGGGTCCGGCGTCTACCTGGAGAACGTCTCCTGCCAGAATGCATTGTGCCTACAGTCAAGTTCGGCGGAGGTGGAATTATGGTCTGGGGGTGTTTCTCCTGGTATGGGCTGGGACCCTTGGTCCCCATTCATAGTAAGCTCCACTCCGATGCCTACTGCACTATTTTGGATGACAATGTGCTTCCTACGTTGTGGCAGTTTACGGGTTGGACCTCTGTTACTTTCAGGACGACAATGCCAGTTGTCATGTTTCGACGTTAACCAAGGCTTGATATGGTGCCAATGGAGTTCATCGAATGGACTGGCCTGCCCAGAGTCCAGACCTGAACCCTATCGAGAACCTTTGGGACGAGTTGCATCGCCGAATTCAGGGGTGCAAAATCGGTGAAGGAACTATGATGTCTTCTCCAAGCCGAGTGGAAGAATTCCACAAGTCTTTGTATGACAGCTAGTGGTAAGTATGCCCTGGAGGGTCCACGCTGTAATTACCTCTAGTGGAGGCTCTACCAACTATTGTTTTTGAAAAAAGTTAGTTTTTCTTTTCTATCACAGGTGTCCAAATACTTATTGGTAGTAAGTGTATACCAACAAAACTACCTACGTCTTTTACGAAACATTTATTTTTCAAAACTGCCATGCTTTTCTAAAAACACATCTGAAACCTGCATTTATTTGAATTTTTAAGATAGTTTTTAAACAATTCATTGAACTAGATCTGTATGATATTGTAGTTTATGTCCATTTGAAGATGACGGTTGAATATGAAATTTTTAATTCGTTTTAAATGTGAATTAGTTTCTCTTAATTTAAATAATTATTTTCCTGTTCTGTATGTAATGTTTCAGAACCTCCTTTCAGCATGTCTTATCTTATAGTCCGGGTTTCCTAACAAGGTTAGCACTGAATCCTAGGGGGGATAGCTGAATATGAATCTGCAATTGATCGTCATAATAAAGATGCCATTAAAAATAAAATTGATAATTATTTTTTCATGCGAAACTCCATCGTACAAAATCGAGTCTTATTCAAAATACATGAGTACGCTATGTTTTAGAATTTTAAAGACATTCAGGAGAAATATCCCAAAATAAGTTAGCAAACCAACATTGACCTTTCTCCTTCGTCTTATATAGCTGAAATGGGCTCAAAACAGTAATTTACATCAAAGACTGAATATTTTAGAACGAGGTGATTCAAGAACTAAGTTTAACAAATTTATGGTAAATATTAAAAGAACTGCATCAATACAACAAGTGCAGACATCACATTAATCAAAACCTAACATTTGTACATTTACAAAGTGTATGTTTCTAAAAACATTTTTGCAGTTGTGAAGTTAAAGGTAATACAAAATAAACATATCAAATAAACTGTTTTTTAAAACAAAAATCAGACTTTCATAATGGTGCACACACCTTTACGAAAAGTGTCTGATTGGCGTACGGGTGTCTATCAATTTTAAGGCAAAGATTTTAAGGCACTTCGTGCACGCTTCCTTATGCCGCGGCCCCGGTATGAAGCGATTCCCATCATATTTGGAACCGCAAGTATTTTTCATTTCGGCAACGTTTGATAAAAGCATTAAACATTGTCAACGGCAATGCAGTTATATGCATATGGCAGTGCAGTTAACCAATCGGCAAAGTACTCTTCATGACAAGCACATTAAGTACTACAATCCGAGTTAATCACCATTCCTTGCAGTGCTAAAGTTTTGTTGCAGAAAATTAAAGAATTGTTCTACATATTCGTACAAAACCTTTCTACATCCAATTAACGTTGCAGATTTTACGCACCTAAGGGAGGTATATGAAAAAACTTAACAGCAAAAAATATACCTGATAATAGAGCATCAGCAAGAGCAGGTACTACACTGGCATTAAAAATATGATAGCAACATGAAAAATCTTTCTCGAAATCTGTGCTGCAGGTTCGAGCAAGAAATAACTAATGAAAACTGCATTTTTCAGAACATGAGCAGATACTAAGCAATGCTCGAAATATTAAGTTAGAACACATTTTATTTAGAATAAATATTACCAAATTTCAGCAGTTCGCATTTAACCCTATTTAAAGAATGCATAATAATAAAATCACTGGAAAAACTGCATTAAAGAATTTCATGAAAGTTTTCAAGATAGAAAGAGGGGGAAAATGTTACAATATTGTTCGAGTTACAGGCTCAAAGATCTCTTCAAATAATTATTCCAGATGAGCAGGAAGAGATTAATATTTTGTGTTGTAATGAACTACGGTAAAAATAACAGCTGTAAATAACTCAAGAAGAATGAAGAAATCTGCAAATCCTCTTTAATACATGATCAGATACAATGATAGAAAGATTACCGATATCTCTCAAAAAGCAGTTTGAACTAACTAGCAACCGACTGTTCTCTGTCGTTCTTATTTATATGCTGTTGCTTCGCCTTTGAAAGCTTCGGTAAAAATCAACAGCCAGCAGTCAACAGACTGCACAAAGAAGAGGTAATGCAGAACATAGCATAGCTGACAATGACTTTGGCGTTCGATAGCTAACAATAGAAGACTGGAAAAGGAAACGGATAGAAAAACATTATCCATTAAGAGTTATGGAATGTGCATTAAAAAGTAGAAAAACTATGAAAAAATTTGACTGAGAAAGTGAGTATAGTTTTGTATGTTTAGTTTACTCAGTTCAAGATCAAACGTATTATTAAAATTTCAGCCATTTAAGTAACTATTTTAGGGCAAAGGACATTGCATTTTCGTAACGTGTGTGTTGGTGTATTTAATTATGGCAAAGCACACTAGGGCTATCTGCCTAAGGGGAGGGATGCCTTCGTGGAGGACTTTCTAAGGGAAACTGGCTCGTATACACGTTACACATGGGGGAAACCACGAAAACGCCCATGCAGCCAGCCCGTTCGCGGGATTCGAACCTCGGACCGAACTACCAGTGTTCAGCGACTTTACCGCTCGGCCGCTGGTGGGCCGCATTTTCGTAACGATTTCGATGAAAGGGGCCCAGATTTCATAGCTAGTGCCGATTCTCTTGACCGATGGCAGAAGCACTACGGTATCCATCAGTTAAGTGTTTATGGTGAAAACACATCATATAATTTTGAAAATGGAAACGTTCAAAAAGCATTTCAGGAATTATTTGAAACTGCAAACCTATCGTATGATCAGATATTTAACCTTTATGAGTCAGGAATTAGTTATAAAACATTATCTAGTAAGAATCTTGCAGCCAGAACTGAAATGGCAGCCCCTGACTATAAGCATAGCAAAGACAGGGTGTTAGCATACAATAATACTAAAATAATCCTAAAAATGTCGCAGCGAGTTTCAAAAAAATGAACTACCCGACAATTTCTAACTCCAAAATTTAATTAAATCCACAATTTTATAACTTGTTCTATATATCTTTATTCGAAGGGAGATTTTATTTATTATTGGCTTACATAACGCTGTACACATTCAAAAAAATTTTTAACTTCAGTTTTTAGAATCGAAACATTTTTTTTGTTGCCAAGCCAAGCATGCTAATATCAAAATTAAATTATTGATTCAGAAAAATAAATATACTATACCATATGATTTACGTAACAGTCAGAATAGCGTTAAGATCAGCAGTGAAATTTTCAAAGACTGTTCTTTTTAAAGAACTGAAGTTCGTTGAATAAAATCTAAAGTATTATTATTATTATACTATAAAAAACAAACTTCTTTAAACTCCAAACTTTCTAAAAATAAAATATTAACTATAAAACAGGAGTGAAACAAATTATAAGTACCCTTTTGAAAACGAAATTCCAATGAATGTATTTTTCGAACAGTCTTTCTTTTGTTGCCATTGTGGGTTTCAAGAGGCTGCTCATCATTGTCTTTTATGGTAAAACATGGTTTCAATTTATCTATTGAAATTCTTCTGACAGTTCCATTAACTTCAATGTCAAAATACTTTGGTGCTCGGTGTTTGGCAACATAAGGCTCAAGATGAAATGGTTGCAAAGATGAAGCGGCTGCGTTATTGTATACGAAAACTGAACAATTCAAAAGGTCTTTGGAAACGAATACGGTTGTATTGCCATGGCTACTAATTGGAGATGGTAGTCATTGCAGAAGGTGTTATGTTACGGATAATACTTTGTAGCCTTTGCGCGATCTCTGAGTGT